ACATGACCTTTCACAACTAAAGTACTTGAGAAAGGCTCAATCGGAGACCCTCAACGGCTGATTCTCGTGATTCGTTTTGGGTTTTTCATCTGAGCGCCATCAACTCCTCCAACCTGGAAAAACCGTAATCTTCAAAGAGTGATAACCCGATCCCCGTTGCGCATGTCACAATTCAAGACTTGACGCCACGCTCCTTGTCGTAGACAAAGTCATCCACCCCATCGCTTCTCACATCTCATAAACGCCAGACCCAAACCAAAACTCCATCACAGCATATAGAGCCTCACCCTCCTGCTTGTCCCCTCCGCCTCCCCGACTATCTTCCCATTCTCCCTACTCAATGCGAGCCTCATCACAAACACCATGCCCACCGTAAGACATGAGAACATGAGCATCAGACAAAACGCCAGCAAGTAGCGCGGACTATCCTGCGGCCTGAAGAAGTAAGGCCCCCAGATCCCCCCCAGCTGCGCCAGCAGACACACAATCGCCGTCGCCGCGGCCCTCTTCTCGGGAGTGGCGCTCAGCGTGCTCGCGGCCCAGCTGAAGATCAAGCCCGTCGGCGCGAACGCCCCCGGCACAAAGAGGAAGCTGGCAAAATACCGCACGGGACTGTTGACCGTCGAGGCCGTGATGATGTACCCGATCATGGCGACGCACAAGGGGGCCACGATGTGAAGGCCGCGCTCGCCCCGCCTGTCGCTGGACATGGCGACCCCGATGCTGATGACGGCGGCAAGGAGGTAGGGCGGCGCCGTGAGGACGAGCGCGATCGTGTTCGAGCCCAGCTTGAACCCCTGAACGATCGTAGGGAAGAAGCTCGTCAGCCCGTGGCAAGAGAGGAAAAATACGTTCAAGCAGACCTGCGCGACATGATCAGCAACGACATCACCTCACGGCAGTCATCAACACTCACAAATCCCCACGTCTTCACGTCCGTAACTGCAAGCCTCAGCCCATGCCATACAGTCCCCTTCTCCTCCGGCACCGACACCCGGTCGGCGTCCATCCTCATCTTTGCAACCCTTAACTCTTCCTCGCTCATCAGCCACGAGCAGACCCCCGTCTTACTCCCGATGTAATCCGGCAGGAACGCAAGCGCAGTGAAGGCCGACGCGAAGCTGCCCGCCCCCTCGATGATGAAGAGCCACTGCCACCCGTGTAGTCCGCGGACGCCGTCTAGATGGGCAAACACGGCGGCGGCGATGAGCCCGGCGAAGGCGGTTGCTACGAGCATGCCAGAGTAGAGGATTGCGGTGCGAAATGCGAGCTCCTTCTGGGTGTACCAGCATGACAGGATGTAGATGACCTGTGGTGTCTGTTAGTACGCAGTAGTCTAAGGGGGTAGGTAGGTAGGTAGGCTGGCAAACCCCCGGAAAGAAAGGCGCTTCAACCACGCCCAAGAAGACTCGGATAACCACCAGACTCGAAAAGTTCGTGGCCGCTGCCGTTGAAGCGGATACACATGACCATAGAATCACGCAGCAGGGGATGTATATGCTCGGCCGGACCCGTGTTATGAGCATGTTGGACGGCAGCTGCGCAGTCATATACCTGCACTCCGCGTCAGCACCCATACAGAACAAGCATCAAACGGGACGTCTCGCGCGTGCGTACCCGACGTTGAATATCGACACGGCAGTGTTGAACTGGTTCCCCACAAGGCCCAGGTGCTTCTCGAAACCGTCCAATTTCGCCTGTCTAGCTTCTCGTTAGTTCCTTTCCACCCCGTAACTGACGGCAGCGCGAGACCTACGCCAGGTTGTTCCGGTCGAGAAAGTTGAACATGTACAATGTCCAGACCACCGGCAGCAACGACATGTCCAACTTTCGCACGAGGCTCTTCTCGGTGGCCCTCCATTCTGGCTGCTCCATGGCAATCTCTTCCGGCGTGCTGGTAGGGGGACGTGGTGATTCCGGGACCAATGTGCCCTTCTCGACCGTCTCGACGGAGACATCTTTGCTTGCGAAACTTATCCTGCCCATACCGTCCGTTTCGTCTCCCTACCGTCGTCTATGTAATCTCTCCCAGCTTCGAAGGACGATGGGAAGAAGGAAGGGCCAAGTTGATGAATGTCCTTTATTGGAGTACACAGTCCTCTGCACCCGCACATCGAGTCAAGAAGCATACACAGCCCACCCTCCCCAGGGCCAAACGGTAGTGTTCGTCCCGGTATTATATCCAACCTTCTCACAAATCCAAATCCTCAAGACCACATGGAATTCTTCTGCCCGTCTGCCAAAACAAGCAACGACAAGCCGAGAAAAAGCAAAGAGCCGATAACGAAGCTTGGCCCTCTCGGACGCACCGGGCTCCAGACTCCTCCATTGTTGTGCGTTGTTCCAATTGTATTGGAGGGGGAGGAAGCAAACGTGTTGCAGGCTCAAAGTCTATATAATCGCATTTCTTACCCTTCTTCTAAACCTTGAACGTTTTGCGGCTGTGACCGCGGAAGTGTTGGATGGGAAGGGAAGTCAAAAACGGGAGCTTCGACCAAAGAGATGTTAGTCCTGGGGTCGAAATGAGTTAAGATCACCGGGGGGCATGATCGGACGGAAAGCCCACACAAACTCGGCCGATGGCGGTCCGCGGACGCGGGCATGCGGGATGGAACCCTCTTCACTTGCTAGAGCAGACGACACGGGAATAACGAGGGCGTTCCACGCATCGTCAATTCTCCAACTTTTGATGAGGCTCACAAGTGGCTCAAAGGTGGAAACAGACAGAAAATTCTCCGTCGCGCCTCTCCGATATTCCCGAAAGGCGAGAAGGGAAAAAGGGGGGGAAGCCCACTGGGTGGGTATGATGGACTAACACGTCATGGAGGTTATAAATCAGTATAATAGGAGGGTCGATCACGAGCGGCAACCGCGGCCCTCGTCCCGTCTGATGTCGCGCGGACAACGGACGTCGAGAAACACCGCGCCTTTTGAGAGTTCGTCACATTGCGAAACACCATACACACTGAACCCAGTTCACGTCACAATGCCATCGGACAACGTATCCGCCGCGACACGGCTCCGCAACCGTCTCAAGGCGACGGACGACCTCATCCTCCTGCCGGGAGTCTACGATGGCTTCAGCGCAAGGATCGCACTCGGGGTCGGCTTCGACGGCCTCTACATGGTAAGATACCACCTACCTCGCCTCGTCTACAGTCTCAGCAGCTAAACAACGGCAGACCGGCGCTGGCACATCTGCCTCACGCCTTGGGCTTCCAGACCTCGGCTTCGCCACCCTCAATGACATGCGCTCGCACGCCGAGATGCTCGCCTCCCTAGACCCCTCCGTCCCCCTCGTCGCGGACGCGGACACCGGCTACGGCGGCCCGAATCAGGTCGCACGTACGGTGACGCAGTACGCGCAGTCCGGGGTCGCCGGGTTGCATATTGAGGACCAGGTGCAGACGAAGCGGTGCGGCCATCTGACGGGCAAGGAAGTCGTTGACGTCGAGGTGTTCGCGGCGCGCATCAAGGCTGCGAAGCTTGCCCGCGACAAGATTGGTTCCGATATTGTCGTGATCGCCCGCACGGATGCTCTGCAGACGCACGGGTTCGACGAGGCGCTGAACAGACTGAGGGCGGCCATCGCTGCTGGTGCAGACGTCGCCTTCCTCGAGGGTGTGAGGACTGAGGAGCAGGCCAGAGAGGCTTGCAAGGCGCTTGCACCGACGCCGGTCTTGTTGAACATGGTGGAGCACGCATCGACGCCCTCGTGGACTGCTGCGCAAGCGAAGGACATCGGCTTCAGGATGATGATTGTGCCGTTCGCGTCGATTGCTCCGGCGTATGAGGCTATGCGAGACTCGTTGACCAGGCTGAAGGAGACGGGCGTGGTTGGGACGCAGCCGGACTTTACGCCGCGCAAGTTGTTTTCCATCGTTGGATTGGACCAGGCGATGGAGTTTGACGCTGCTGCGGGAGGGACTTCCTACAGTCAGGTAAAGGATGCGACCAACTAAGGCTTGGGTTATGCGGGAGTGGTGGGAAAGCAGCTCTATCATGTTTTCCACATGCTAATGCATAATCATGAGATCGACCTTGGTCGAACGCAACAGAAATAAGTCGTTAGAGGTACAAAAACACGCAAGTAAATAAAAAAAGAAAGTAATATTAAAGGAACAAAACGGAACGGAAGACTTACTACTGCCAGGCCCCCCTCTCGCATGACGAGAGACGACTCGAACTGGGCGCCCCTCCAGGATCACCAGATATCCTTTTGGCGGTATTTATTTGAACGTGTGCTTTTACCAACTGGGTCACGCCGTTTTCGTTGAACTGGTTGAAAGAGCTGGTGGTGAAGTTCGAATAAGTAGGTGAGGCGGGAGGCACTGTGGGTCCTGGCCCGGCGGTCGTGTGGATTTCCAGAAGGCGCGCCGGCTCTGTGATGCTCCTGCCGTAGATGATTAGTTCCACACAGTTGTGTGGCACCCGTCAGTGTGGCCGCCGAGTCGCTCCCGAGCAGCTTTCGAAAGACGGCACCAGCGAGCCCCTTACGTTGCATTAACCAACCGTCCAATCCGAGGCCTGTTGCACTTCTGGCTGATTGGTGACAGCCGAACCCAACATTAGAGTTGATTACTATGGACAGAGTTTACAAGCTTGGGGGTAATCCGATATCCTGTCTATGCGGCTCTGTCAGTGGATACTTCCGAGAACGACTCCTACTAGGCTAGATGGGCACATCCATCAGTTTACTTTCTGCCCAGTCTAGAACGCCTGTCAGCGCATGTTGCCACAAGTTTTGGCTGGTTCATGGGAGAATGAAGGCCTTCCCACTCTCCCCACCAACATCATCCGTAAAGACGCCTGAAGCAATACTACACAATTCGAGCATTCTTGTAACATCCAAACCATCTTGACTTGTGGACGAGCATGCTCGCCCATGATTCCCCAAAAAGAGGAACTCAAGATAGCTCAGACATGGATGGAACATGTGATCAAACCAGTCTATTGTAAAATGCTCTTCAATATTGGTACAGGCTAATAAGCCACGTCCTTCACAAGGCACCAAGCTCCTTGAGCTTCGCAACAAGCCCGTTGACGTCCTCGACCTTGCCACCGCCCTGTCTCTGGGCAGGCTCTGTACACAGTTATTAGCACAGCCACCCAAACGTGCCCGTACGGCCAAAATCAACAACTCACCAGTAACCTTCAAAACCTTCAACCTCTTCTCAACGCCAATGCCGTAGTCCGCCAGCTTCTTCTTCTCGAGCGGCTTCTTCTTCGCTTTCATGATATTCGGCAAGCTGGCGTACCGCGGCTCGTTCAACCTCAGGTCCGTCGTGATGACGAGCGGCAGCTTCGCCTTGACGGTCTCGACACCACCGTCAACCTCGCGCGTGACGCTGACCGTGTCGCCCTCCCCGAACTTGACCTCGCTCGCCTGCGTCGCCTGCGACCAGCCCAAGAGACCCGCCAGCATCTGGCCCGTCTGGTTCGCGTCGTCGTCGATGCTCTGCTTGCCGAGGATGACCAGGTTCGACTTGTGCTCCTCGGCTGCCTTGTGCAGCAGCTTCGCCACCGACAGTGGCTCGAGGTCGTCACCCTCCTTGGTCTCGACGTGGATCGCGCGGTCCGCGCCCATGGCCATGGCCGTCCGCAGCACGTCGACGGCCTTGGGGGGTCCCGCGGAGATGACGGTGATGTCCTCAACGCCGCCGGGCGCGCGCTTCTTCTCGCGGATGCGCACCGACTCCTCGACCGAGAGCTCGTCAAAGGGGTTCATCGAATGCTTGACTCCGGCCGTCTCGACGCCCGTCTGGGCCTTGTTGACTCGGGGCTTGACCTGTGTTTTTTCGGATTCCGGGTGTCAGCTCGGTCGTCGGATCACAAGCCAAATCTCTGCGGCCCATTGCGGCTCGTGGGGTGGTCGAAACTCACAGCGTAGTCAATGACCCGCTTGACGGGGACGAGGATTCTGAGGGCGGACATTTTGGGACTCTCTGTTGGCTTGTACAATGGCCTCGGAGAGTTGATGGTGTTGCTGTCGTCGGGGGTGGGGTGGGATTGAAGACGGGAATTGGAGGTGGGAGCTCAGATTCAGAGTCGCCCGTGGCCGTGTCGTCACTGGGGAAAATGGGACCTCCGTGCAGCGATACCGGCTAACCTCGGGTCACCGCTCCACTTAACCCTTTTCGGTGATTCAGAGCAAAGACGCCGACTTGACCTGCGGTAACAGAATCCCGAAGGTGCATCGTATTTTTGAAGATTCGGCGTTCAAGTATACGCGTTGCTTTTGACCAATTCGCTGTGACGGTGACTTTCTCCGCTGCGAAATGAGCAGAATGATACGCCGAGCCTCCAATCCTGTCCAAGGCAAAATGAGGAAATTCCTGTTTCCAAACTATTTGATATTGCAGCAAAATGATATTCTACGTTATGCAGGCCTGCCAAAGCACGATAACCGCTTACTCAACTCCCTGTTCACTTCTTCAGCATCACTCACCAGTCATCCCAGCCATCGTTGTCCTTCTTCGTTGCGGGCGCCGCAGCTCCGCCGGTCTTCTTGCCCATAGCCGATGTGCCGATGGAGCTGCCGCTGTTTGTCTGCCTCTGGTCCGCAAGGTTTGAGAAGCTGTCCCAAAAGTCCTTCTTACTCTCGTCCAAGGGCGCCTGTCTTGATCCTTGACCGCCTTGGCTATTGGGACCGCCTTCGACGAACCGGTTGAAGCCATCATGGGCGTTACGGGCACCCTGCTGCGCTGCGCGGCCGACGTTGCCGGCGGCGACCTGCGCTTGTCTCGCAAAGTCGGATTCAGCCAGCTGGGGGGCGACGTATTAGTCCTGACCTCTTCGTCCGGGCCGGCGCCGGAGGACACGGAATTCCAGAAGTAGAAGAATCACCCACCTGTTTCGCCGTGGGCTGAATGTAGCCATCGTTGACCGTCTTGGCCGTCTTGGAGACGGTGCTCGTGAACCAGCCGAAGCCCTTGCTCAGCGCGGCCATGGGGTCTTTCTGGAGGTCATCGACCGTCGGCATGCCAGCCTCGTTCTTCTCGGGCATCGGCGAGCTGCCGAAGCCCGCGTACTTGCCGCCCTGGCTCGGCGGCAGGTTGTCGGGTCTTGAGGCGTTTTCGGCACCGAGCTTGGAGAAGTACTTGTCGTCGACCTTGACCTTCCTGCCGGGACTGGCCGAGCGGCTGTTGGTGCCGCTCAACGGCGTGCCGGTCCTGCTGACGGGCTTGGCGGCAGCCGGAGCGGGCGCGGCCTTCTTCTCTCCGGGAACGTACTCCTTGCCCTCAACCTTGGCCGTGAGCCTGTCCTTCCACTCCTCACCCACCTCTCCGCTGTATCGCTCGGCGATGGTCGCGTCGTCCCATGAGACGCCCCTCATCTTGGTATCTTCGTGCTGCTCGAAGAAGTTGCGCCAGTTTTCGTTGCCACCGAGGCGCATCCGCTCGATCTCGACCTGCTTAAAGGCATCCATGGAAATGCTGCGCACGAACGAAATGTGCACACCGAGGCCTCTGTGAACACCGGCGCATGACAGGCAGATAAACACGCCAAACTTTGGGGAGGCCCATTGCGGAGACGGAGCGTTACAGTCGCAGCAGACGTTGTTCTTAGCCTCCTTCTGGATCGCGGCCAGCTACGAGGACAAAAGGGTCAGCGAGGAGCCGCGCAATCGCAAGACGGCAAACGGTGTCGAAAAAGGACTCACCTTGGCTCGCGTCTCGGGGTCGACCTCCCACATGGCCTTGGAAGCCATCGTGGAAGGATTTCAAGCGGCGCGGGGGAGGAATGCAGGCAATTTGACGGACGGCTGGGCCGCGCGGGTTGAGGTATGTTCGATTTTAGGGCAGCGAGAATTGTGGAGGGGTTCGTAGGTGTTGAATGCCGATAAGGGGTCGCGGTTTCTGCAGACCAGGGGGACGGGAGTCTGGGCGGACGTAAACAGCTGGCCCTGCTGTTAATTTAGGTCGGGTGGTAGTGCAATTGACCTCTTTGGACCAGGGGGGGCCACACGCGAGCTGAGCCTCAACTATCAAGTCACTGTGGCACCCAAAACGAGGGTTTCTTTCGCTATCTTCTCTCCTGCTGGTGGCGTCTTGTCTTGAATGAATGGCAACAATTAACGTATGCAGACTCGCCGCGTACGGCCACAAGACAGGGGGTTTATTTCATGGGGACTGCCGAAGGCTGGAGCATCGGGGGGATTCTCGACAGGTCCAGACTGCCTCTGGGACACTTGGCTTTTGGGCCCTTTTGCCGCCACCAATGGCAGCCCTCGAAACACAGACAAGCGCCACTGAAACCGACACCGATTCCACCCAAGGTAGCCCAACCCAGGAACACCAGGTCAGGTATCCGTAGAACCCATCATGCGGAGACGGCACTCTGTCCGACGTTCAGACGGACGCGAACTCCGGATACGCTTTGCAACCTTATTTCACCGGATTCGCAAACAGGCACGGCATGGCACAATCACTTGCATTTGGTTGGCACCATTTCCATTAACTGCAAAAAGCTACCCGATTTTGTTCGTTTTGCGCCGAACTTTTCCTCTTCCTTCCAGACCGCCTCGCGCGAAAGCTAATGTACAACCCAGCAAAGGGTGACGGAGAAAACGGGAGGTAGGTAACAGATGCAGAGAGAGGTCGTCGGTGAGATCGTGTGTATTAATTTAGTGATGATGGCAGCGCTGCACATCCGGTCTGGCCTATCTACCGAGAACGAGTCTGGAGAAAGCAAGACGTAGATGCAATGGCCACCTTTTTCAGGGGCACTTCCAAAAAGGGGGAAATCGTCGTAACAGATACCGCATCATGAAGCTCGTAAAGGCGACATCTCTGAAAGTTGGCTCAGAGATGCTATGCCGGGGCTGGGTGTTTTTTCGTTTGGCCTATATCTAGGCGGTGGTGGTAGCGGGAGCCGCAGCAGCAGCAGGGGCAGCCGCGGCGGGGGTAGCGGCAGCATCGGTGGCGGGGGCAGCCTCCGAGGTGCCGTTGGCCTTGGTCTCCTCCTTGGGAGCGTTGGCCTCCTCGTCGGTCTTGTCAGGGCTGTCAATAGCGACCTTGACGGCGATCTCGCGACCCTCGATCTCCTTGCCGTTCATCTCGTTGACGGCCTTCTGCTGAAGCTCCTCGGTGGCGAGGGTGACGAAGCCGAAGCCACGGCCCTTGCGGGGCTCGCCGCGGGCCTGGAGCTTCTTGATCATGAAGCGGGGGATGGGGCGCAGAGCGATCTTGGCAGAAGAAGGCTCGTAGGCGGCGAAGAGCTCCTTCAGCTATGGGGTTGTTAGCCAGACGCAATGCAATTTGATACGGATTGATGACTGACCTTCTCCTCGGTCAGGTCGTAGGGAAGGTTAGCGACCATGACCTTGGTCTTGGAGGCGATGCCGTCGGCCGGGGGGCCACGCTCACGGCGCTCACGGGGAGCACGAGCCTGAGCAGGCTTCTCGGTCTTGGCGGCGTCAGTAGTGTTCTTGTTGGTGGCGTCGGTCAAAGGCAGAACCTCAGAGGTAGGCGGGACTTCGGCGGCAGCATCAACAGGGGCGGCAGCACCCTCGGCACCCTCCTCCTGATCAGATGTTAGTAAGGATATCACGGGGTATCTTGTTCCTCGGGGTTGACTCACGCGGCCACCACGGGCGCCACGACCACCGCGGCCACGGCCACGTCCACGGCCACGGCCAGATGGTCTGCGGCGGTTACCCTCACCGGCGCCCTCTCCGTTGGCACCCTCGGTCTTCTCTCCAGCAGGCTCAGGCTTGCGGGCAAGCTGAACGGAGACCTTGCGCTCCAGGATCTCCTTGCCGCTAAGCTCAGAGATGGCGCGCTCGGCCTCGGTGGGGGTAGAGAGGTCGACGAAGGCGTAGCCAACAGGTCGGTCGGTGCGAGGGTTCTTGGGAATGGAGACGGACTCGCTGTGAAAAAAGGCGGGTCAGTATGAGCTGGCACGCGTGACGCAAGTGGGTGGAAATTTGCGGGGCGGGTCAGGGAGGAGAGGCCACGGGGCAACATCGTGACATTGAAGAGAGGCGGTCTGCAAGGCAAGGCGACAGCCCATGGGGCCATGCAGACTTCAGGCGGGTGCAGCATGATGACTCTCCCGGTCCGCAGACAGGCAGCGACGTGAAAGCCGCGCCGTGGTTCGGAGGATATGTCATATGTCGTGGCTGGTGCTCGGGGTAGGCAGGCGCGACTGACCGCCCGAAGCTCGAGTGGGCTCCGAGTGGCATGACGACACCTGGGCTCAGAAACCACGAAGGAAAAACAAAAGGCGACTTACACAAGGTAACCCTTGAAGAATTCCTTCAACTCCCCCTCAGTTGTCGCGTAGGCCAGGTTGCCGATGTACAGACGGCGTCCCTCAGCAGCGCTGGCGAGGACGGCATCGTTGTTGGCGGCAGGCTTATCGGCGGCCTTGTCGGTGATAGAGGCATTGCTCAGAGCGTTGGTAACGTCATTGACGGCTTCGGAAACCTTTTCGACGGCAGCAGACATCTTGGCGGTGTTTAGGCTGGGATGAAGAAGAGGCTTGAGGTTGATTGTAGGCTGCGTGCAGGATGAGGTGCGTGATAACAGATGACGTGCGGACGAACTTGGGACCTGGTGACAGGAACGACGGTTCGGTTGCTTGGGTGGATTGGAAGTTCGGTGAAGTTGAACTCTGAAACAATGGAGGGGGGAATTTTAGGGTAGCTTGGTGCCCTAGAAAGCTTGAGAGAGGTTGACAGACGACTTTGCGTTGCGCGGTGACACAGGATCTTGAAGTTGTGATGTGGAGGAAAGGGGAGAGAGGAAGGGAGGCCGAGCCGCGACCTGAAATATGTACAAATATTTTTTTTCTGGTGAGCAGGGGGGAACGAGGGACGAGGGTAAGCGAGGCGCAAACCCACCGAACAGCAGGTGCGGCCCACAGCCTGGGAGGCCGTGGTCAGTGTCTAGCGGTAGGTAGCGGCAGGTACCTTCCTTAGCTACCTTTACGGGAGTGTCGAATGGGCAGGTGTGGCGGTGCCGTCGGTGGGTACTTGCCTGTTGTGTATCTGCAGAAGCATGAGGCAGGCAGGGGTTTGGGGAAGGAGAGACGCCCAGGGTGGTTGAGAGGGGAGAGAGCCAGGCAGCTTCCTCACCGAATGACGGAATGGTAGGACTGATGTGTCGTGATTACCATATATTTTGACAACTGTACTGACCAAACGACGGTCCTCACTTGATTGCTCTACGTACGTGGGAGTGGTTTTTTTCCTTTTTCCCGTGCTGTTGCTTTTTCTCTGTCTGTCTGTCTCTCTTGAACACTACGGAGTACATGAGGTACACTACCTAGTATCACACCAACTTTAGATGAATGGAGGTTGACAGCTGGGCTGTTCCTGCCGCTAGCAGACAGTTGCTGATAAACTCCACGCTCCCCGATGCTCCAGCAAGAAGGGGCAGCCGGCCACCTTGGGACGAAAGACGAAAGGCGGTCGGTGAGGCCCTGTCGCCAGGCATTGAGCTGGGCGAGGTACGTACCAAGAGGAGGTGAAGATGAAATGTCATCCAGAGGAAGGATCCACGCGATAGTGTTAGACATGGCAAGTACATTGATGGGCAGCCACAGGGCACGGGCTTCCACCGACGGGGGTGACTGACAACACCCCTGCACAGAACGCCGTGTTGCAGCTTCTGTGCATTTTCTTTTCCCATCCCCCATCTCATGTCGATATCATCGCAATATGGCCTTATCAAACACAATCGCCCAGATGCCCGTCCATGACTGGCTGGCCAGCCACAAGCACCTGCTGCACACGCACAAAACATAACAACGATCAACACACAAAAACACGCACATGCTTCGCGACCGGAATCCTGTGTGATCTGCCCAGGCGGTGACCATCACACCGGCCTATCAGGGAAATGAAATGACTCTTCCCCCGCAAAATGCCTGCGATGGGATCCCAGCCAAGGCAGCATTGATCCAGTGTCCACCCGCTGATGTGCGTGTTCGTGGAGCCACTGGGAGCCGAAATGCGACAAAGATCTCGGCACCTACGACCACTCTACACGGAGCCTCCGGATGCTGGTCCAAACCAGACGGCCTGGATATCAAGAGCTTTCATGCCGACTTCGTCTCGCCGCGATCAAGCAGGTCACTTGCCGATGCAGCTTGCTCAGTGTGTGGGCAAGTTCGCTTGCTGTGCCCACAACTCTCCCGATTGGACACTTCAACAACGACATCGGCAGTACTTGCAGCAGTTGCCCCAGGGCCCGCATGTTGTGGAGAGCTATGCTGTGATTCAATTCTTTTTCCTTCTCTGTCCTTCGGCCAAGCCATTGCAACTAAAGGTATGATTTGGAGAGCAGTCAGGAGGGTGGCGACGTGTGATGGTGCTCTGGCAGCCTCGTCAGAAACCTACCTTAGAAGCAAGCTTATCCTTCAAGTTGACAGGTGTTTTCGGCAAAACTTCCCCAACCAGGCCCCCAAGTGCCATCATTAAGAAGCAGCCAGTAATCTACTCAACCTTCCGCAATATGTCCAATTTGAGGACATAGTCATAGTTCGGACCACCAGGGTCCCCTTCAGCGACAAGCATCTGATTACTTTGCACAAGCTTCCCAATGTTCGGTTCAACTCTCACCCTAAACTGTCAGGTTCTCGTCCGCTGTTGGTCCAAGAGAAACATGCGCCGGGGATTTAAATCCAAGGGTCCACCGGAACCGACTGGTACACCGATTGAGTTGCCTTGCTCTTTGTTCAACCCTACCTTGGTTACCCTCAGTTACACCAAGGTAGGACAGGTGCCGGCAGAAGTCCGTCTACTTGGTCGCCTTGCAGTAGCCTTGCGGACTGACGCCGTCCGTTTTGCTGCAGCAAGACTAAAACGGGCAGGACAATCTCGACTGTCGCAACAAGGTCGAAAGCGCGTCGTCCAGCAGTACGGGCAATGTGAAGTGAAGCTTGATGCGCAACTGACCGCTGATCCGATCCGAAGATGGAATTGGCTCGGCGGATGCCCATTCGGGACCCGTCTTCCGTCCCTGGTTAACGCCGCACTCCCGTATCTATGGGACCGCGGAGAGGTGCTTTTGCGCCCGAAATTGGACCAGAATGAACAAATTTCCCATGGCCCACTGGATTTCGCGGAGCGCATGAAGGCTTTGGAGAGGGTCCCCGGCATCCTACGCTAAGGCGCCAGGGGTCTGGACGGTGCCACACAGGGGAAATCGGCGCGAGAAATAGGGACGAGGGCCAGAATCCGAGATCCTGCATCTCTCATGTCCGATGTTCAATATCTGGAAGCAATGAGGCCGATACGAATCAATAGGAGGCGGTCTGCCAAAGTCTTGGTCCACAGGCAATCTCGCATCCACTCAGTTTGGTGGTTTGTCCTTCAATTGTCGCCTCATACGGCGAGCTCTGGACACGGCCCAAGGTCTGGCAGTGTTGAATGATGCTCAAGTGAGGCGATGACAAGTGGCAGCTAGGTCTGAGGCCGGAGGGTGAAGCGAGGCGACAGCCTGAGTCGGGAAGCTTTCCGCTGAAGGTCGCTCGCCTTACCGTCAAGCTGGCCTTTCATCGGGTCCCTCCCACCTTACCTTGCCTTAGGTTTCCCCACAGGAGCTTCTTCAGAATGGGGCACCCGTCGCTCGTCTGGCCCAAGGGGGGTGACAGTGACACTGGCGCCGCCGTCCCGTGTCCGCGGTGGCCCGCCCAGCCGTTACCACATGCGAGGCCCAGAGCTGCCGTATCTTTTGGGGGGACCATCCACCCATCCATCACCGCCCTAAACCCAAGAAGATTAGCGACCAAGTCCCGGCACTTAGGCCCTGTGTGTCTCTGCTTTGTTGTTCCTCCAGAGGGCCACGAGAGACCTGTGGCGCAAACTCGTCTGACCCGGATCTCGGGAATTATCCATGCTCTGTGGCTGATCAGCATGACACACGAATCATCTGCGGCACCTTGGACAAGGGCCGCAGTATTCTCAGTATCGACTTGTCCGCTTCAGACCGTCTTCATTCACTTTCGTAGATTCCCGGTCTGGCCGCCACTCATCGCTCCTCGACGTCAATCCAGCTTCGTCTCACCTGCAATGCGCAGTAGCACGTGATCTCTGTACCGCATTCTGCCGTGGCTAGCCAGCCTGGATGGCTCCCACCTCCGATGCCGCTGCAGGGGCAAAGAAAAACATCTTTGGTGTCTGCGCACTAACGAATCAATGAGCCGCATTTACTAAGAGTCACGACTCACAACTGGTGCCTTCAATTGGTATTGCGGCCTAGTGATTTTCATGATTGTCAACTCTGATATTTTGTTTTCCAAATCGGCCAATCGTAAGAGAGAGTAACCGAAAAGAATAAAAAGGCAGCCGAATACATGAACATGACGGCCCCGGACAACGGCCTCGAGCCGGCGCATGTAGCCGATATCCCCGGCCGGTCCATGCTGATCCTCTACGGCTCAGAGACGGGCAACAGCCAGGACATTGCCGAGGAGCTGGGCCGGAACGCCCAGCGTTTGCATTTCAACACCAAAGTAGACGAGATGAACGGGGCTCAACTGGTTCGTCATCCATGGCCTTTCAACTCAATAATGCGCGACGTTGTTAACTCCCCGTTACAGAGCTTATTGCTTCAGTACACTCTTGTTGTCTTCGTCATTTCAACAACAGGCCAGGGAGACATGCCGCGCAACTCGACCGTCTTCTGGAAGAGTCTTCTGAGAAAAAAGCTGCCGCCTGGCTGTCTGGGTAACGTCAAGTTTACGACCTTTGGGCTCGGCGATAGCATGTATATCAAGTATGTCTTTGCCAGTCTTCTTCGGCACAGGCAAGGGTCTAATGGAGGTTTCAACAGGTTCAACTGGGCGGCCAGAAAGCTTCACAAACGGCTGGAGCAGTTGGGAGCGCAAGAGTTCTACCCTCGAGGGGAAGCCGACGAGCAAGACTCAGATGGGTGAGTGACTTTGAGTTGTATCTTGCCAGTCTTGTGGCGTCCCTCTGTTTTCTTACCGGTTCATCGCAAACCCCTACGACACATTCCACTGACTATGCTGCAGCGCGGATGAAAGATACATGCCATGGGCCGCCGATCTCCGCAAGAAGCTGCTCGACCTATACCCCCTCCCGGCGGGTGTTTCTCCTATCCCAGATGATGCTCTGCTGCCTCCACGGTACAGCATCTCGCTGTCGAACTTAGACGCGAAGAACACCAATGGCCACGAGCCAGACCCTGAGAAAGCCATTGACGAACTCTCTCAGGAGACAAACTCACTCAAAATCGCCGATACACCCCCTTCCACCCTCCTACACATTCCCTCAAGTCAACCTGCAACACTCACGCACAACACCCGTGTAACCCCCTCCACACACTTCCAAGACGTCCGCCAAATAACCCTCACCCTCCCCTCCCAACCCGTAATATCTCCCTTTGACAGCCTGACGATATACCCAAAGAACTTCCCTCAAGATGTCCAGAAGCTGATCGACCTCATGGACTGGGGCCCCGTGGCGGACCTGCCTCTCTCCCTGCCGCCGGACCTCCCCCGCGGGCTCTTCGTCGATCCCACCACCAGCACCACCCTCCGCCATCTGCTCACCCACAACCTCGACATCACGAGCATCCCCCGCCGCTCCTTCCTCAAAGAAATGTTCTACTTCACCACGGACGAGTACCACAGGGAACGCCTCCTCGAGTTCACGATGCGCGAGTACACGGATGAGTTTTACGACTACACCACCCGCCCGCGCCGCACCATCCTCGAGGTCCTCGAAGAATTCACCTCCGTGCGGATACCCCTCGGTCGCGTGCTGGACATGTTCCCCATCATGCGCGGGCGCGACTTTAGCATCGCCAGCGTCAGGCAGCAGGACCAAATGACAGAGGTGGAATTGCTGGTGGCGCTGGTCAAGTACAAGACCATCCTCCGCAAGATCCGCCAGGGCCTGTGCTCGCGGTACCTCGAGTCGCTGCCGACGGGCATGCCGCTGAGGATAACGCTCAATCGCAGCTCCGCGTCCCTCCACGGCCCGGCTCACGCCCGCAGACCTCTGGTGGCCATCGCCACGGGCACCGGCGTGGCGCCGCTGCGTCTCTTCATCGAGGAGCGCCTCTTGCATGGGACTGATGTAGGCAGCACGGCCATCTTCTTTGGCAACCGCAGCCGCCACGCCGACTTCCACTTCAAGGATGTGTGGGAGGATCTCAAGAGCCGGCAGGAGAACGGCAGGTTTGCGGTGCACACTGCCTTTTCGCGCGACAAGGACACGCCGCGCGAGTACGTCCAGGACGTGATTCGCAAACAACCGGCCGAGATCAGGTCCATGGTCGCCAGCAACGCGATGTTCGTCGTCTGCGGCGGCAGTCTGAAGATGTCGAGGGCCGTCAAGGAAGCTGTCAAGAGCTGTTTGGCCGAGGATAAGGAGGCATACCCCGACGAAGAGGCAGTGGAGGCGGCTTTCGGAAAGTTGACCTGGTGGGAAGAGATTTGGTAAACACGTGAATCTGGTAATGGATAGAAGAGGTCTCTGGCGGTAGAAGGGGTTTCTCAAAGACTCATTCATAAGCGCAGACGCATGAATCAACCTTGCCGACGACATATAATAGAATTCACATGCAGTGTAAGCCTGAGTTTGTCTTTAACGAATTTGTCTTGAGGCCCGAGGGCCTTTAATCTTTGACTGTGAATGTCGACGGTACATGTACACGGCAAGGCACGCTGTCTCGTAGCCACTTGCTGATGTCGGCCCTTTTGGCCTGTAACCACCACCCATGCCCCTCTATAAATTCATCATTCCTATTTCGAGGCTCCCATCAGAGAGACATCCTTCGAAACGGAAAGTCTTCATGGGTTTGCGGCCCTCTTTTGTAGACATGCCCAAACGCCAAGGTCCTATTTTGGACTGAGGTATCTAAAACTCCGTCGCGTATTGCGATGATCCGTATAATAAAGAAATAAAACGAAAGTAAGAATGAAGAGAAAATATGCCGCCTGCAAAGATGCGGTTGAGCATTATAAGTCGTAACGCGTAATGCAAAATGTGCAAAGATTTCGTGAGAGGCTTCGTCGCTAGTCTTCCCAGCTGTATCGGCGCTCGGCCGGCTGGGGTACGTGGATCCATTCGGTGCCGTCCAGTCGGCCCATCGACAGGTCCGGTTCCGCGCTGTGGCTCCGTTGCTGGGTCTCGGGCACGCTTGCCTGCCTGGTCAGCTCTTGCTGCGCCATGAGCTCCTCCTCAAACTCGGTAAAGTTGCTCCCCAGCGTGTCGGTGGAGAAGCGGCGATCGGTTATGAGGTCGGGAACCGAGAGGAGGGTGCGGCCCTGGGGACACAGCGGGAGCGGGGCAACAGGCTGAGGATCCGATAGAGAGACGTTCTCTGGCAACGGCCCAACGCAAATCACGTTCGAGGGATCGATGGGTGTTCTTTGGTAAATAGCGCCTGGTGGGGAGACGGGTAGAAGAGGAACGGCAGAGTTCGGGGGGGAGTTGGCAGAGTTGGAACGACTGGGGATAAATAGGTCGCTGTTGAGGGAGACAGGACGGTTTATGGAGACAGAGCGGGCTATTGTGTGCCCGTAGTTGCTGACCGTGAAGGTTGGCGACGGGTATGTGTGTCCGTCCGTCAATGGCGACGGGAGATCGGACATACGGTTCGTCCAGTTGCCCTGCGGGCTGCTCATGGGAGACGGTAGGGACCCTTGATTGGACGAATAGTTGTCGCCCATCGTAGGAGACATGGGCGAGGTCGGGGATGTGGGAGATGGCGGAGATGACGCAGAGGCTGAGGAGTGCATGTCGACCGGCCTGTAGGTTGCAACTGGCTCCAGGTCCGGCATCGACTTTTCTGGGGGAGGGAAGTCTGCTGGGTTCTCTGGAGGGCTGTAAACAGGCACGGGGCCCTGTAGCTGAATCTCAATGTTTCTCCTAGCCGCCTCGTATGTGTCCGCGGTCTGCGTATCCATTGTTCCAAATCCTGTGGGTTCGTGCAAGGACTTGCCGTCATCTCCGTCAAGCTCGATGGGGGCGATCGGTGCTGGCAGTTCGTACACGGCATGGTTAGCATCAGCCGCCACCTCAATGGGCTGAGAAGTGCTACCCATGACTTCTTGCGGCGAGCCTCTCTTTGCCTTCTTCTTGCCCAGCATCTTGGAGAACATCTTTGCCACAGGACTCCTGGGCGGTTCCATCATGATGGTCGAAGCCGTGTCCTTGCCCTCTTCCATCGCCCGCGCCGCCGCACAGGCTGCCCTATTCCTTCGGCGGAGGCAATACCACACGACCAACAAGACAATACAAGCAGCGACCACTCCAGCGGCGATCCCTCCCATCTGAGCTGTCGAGAGACCGTGAATGGTTGCCTGCGCGGGAGGACCGGGGTAAGGGCTGTTGTCAGGTTGCTTGATCTGAGAAATGTTGAGATGTGTCTGGGCGTCCTCGGGGAAAACCGCTTGGTGGAGAGAGAAAACGCCGCTGTCGTACTTTGTGATCAGGTACGCCTCTTGAAGGAAGGATCTACCGATGATGAGTGTGTTGGTGAAGTTGGAGGCGCGACGGAGTGGGAAGTAAGGCACGGCCGGATCGCCGTACTTGATTGCCTCGTCCATGAAAGGATAGCGCAGGACCTGCGCGAAAGCCGCAGCTGTGATGGTAATGTTGACTACGCCTGGGACTGTGAGGGGGTGTCCAAAGTCGTCCGTGTTGTCATGGCTGCTAAAGGAGAACGTGAATGAGTACGATGATGATTTCAAGGCAGCATACTGCTCGTTAGTGACTGTGTAGAGGTTGAAAGTGTTGTTGTAGGTCAAGTTGAAGGCAGTAGCAAACTGATCGCAAATGGCATCCGGAAGCCAGAGATAGGGAGTGGAGCTATCAATCATGGCTGAGAATGAAGTCGTCATGTTGGATAGAATCTGAGTTCGGGAACCCCAGCCTCCTGGAACCGCCTTGCCTTCACCCACGGTCACCTCAATCCCCCGAACCAGCGCATGAGGAAGTCCATCACTCGGGTCCAGGGAAAACTCGGTGTTGTGCGGCACAAACCGGCTGGAGTCGTATCCTCCCAATGTCACGGAGCACGGCGTGCCTGAAGTGCCCTCTGCCGAAGGTTAGGACGTTGTGTGGCTGGGAGGGGACGGCTTGACCTACTGTAGTAAGCACCGGCGGTGTAGCCGTAGCTGTAACTGGGGATCCAGCCGTAAGTCTTGACGGCTTGTGTGAGAGGCGACTCAGCGATTTCATTGCCAAAACTGCCCTTGGTGATGCCGAGACCAAGAAATCCGAGGTAATAGTCGGTGCTGTTGATCGAGGCTGTGATAATGTTGTCCATACTAATCACGTCCCCCGCGAGCGTTGTTGTCGAGAGCGTGTCCAGGCCGTAGTCGCCGTTGCCGCCGTAACCGAGATAGTCCAGACCAAGTTGCCATCCTCCCAAAGGATCCCAAGATTTCGAGTCTGTGACGGTGAAAACATTGCCTCGGGCGGAGTTGCAAAGAGGCTCCTCTGCGTCGCGTGTCAAAGCATGCCCCACGAAGAACAAGACGGGTCAGATACACTCACTTGCAAGGCACCCTCCAGCGCCGACAACCCAAAACTCCGACAGCGAGGTGCTCACGAGAACACTAACAGACTGCTTAGGCGTGCCGACCTGGAATTTGACCGTTGACCAGTTGCCGTCGACGCCGTACCAGTCGTTCGAGGGAGTGAGAGCCACGGCGGAAGGGCTTTGTGCGCAGACGATGCCAACAAGCACCGTTGCGACGAGAGCAGTTGACAGCATGCCGCCGATATGAGGTAGAACCCGGCTGGTGGTTCGTTCGAGGTGCGCGCAGTCACCAAGACGTCGTTGTGATCTGCATGGGCGTTCCAAGGGAAGAGCGGGCCGCTGAGAGAGTTGTGTCCATCAACTGAAGCTATTACCGAGCCGTCCACGCGATGCGCTTGGCGAGAGCTGCGGTCATGACTTGTCCCGCAAAACCAATGTGCAGGATGTTGTCGAAAGAGTGGTGTGTGTGTGTGTGTCTTGAAGAACAGAAGACGGGAAGAGGAGGGGGGGAAGGCAGGGCAATTGAATGATGAGCGGAAATTCTAAGTTTCTGTCATTGAATTGAGTGGGTGGCTGCCAGCTACTGCGGTAGAAAGCGTCCATGGCTATCCAAGCAAGGAAGAGCCAGGCCCTACCGACCTGGACAAGGGCTGTGCCGCAACAAGCAAGGGAAAGCCGGATGGCTCACTGGCACGTCGGGGTGTGAGACAAGGACCAGGGCCCCGTCCAGCACCGGTCTGGTGGTCCCGTCGTTCTTGGGAAAGCTGGGGACCGGGGTACAAAGCATGCATCCTTGCCCTCCTATCGACTTATCGACACACAGTGCTTTTGCCTGCTTCAGGACAAGTGCGGCGGAGCGTGACAAGCCTCCCTATGCAGCATGGCTGTTGTCGTGCCGTCGAGAGGCTCCAGAAGCCAGCAAGAGCCATGTATGCGCCCCGCAAGAGATCGAGACACAGCAAGACTGGAACCCGGCGGGGCTGTAGTGTCGCCGCCGCCGTCCCCGTCGTGGACGATGCCGACATGCTAACGTCCTAGTGTATGGCACCGTTGAGATCGATACAAGGGTGAGAAGAAGACGAGTGTGGTCATCCGTGGGTTGGAGGATTGGAATCATAAGACGCGGCAGGCGAGGAGTAGGCGGGGAGTGAGCTGTGACTGCGACTGCGACCATGACGACGGCGAGAGCAAGCGTGTTGTCTACGAGTCTCACGCATGTTTGCGAACAGAGACGCCTTGGCGACACGACGTAGCGAGGGCTTATGGTGCCTCTCCTTTGAGTTTTGACCGTTTCTGTAGCGGGAAGCTCAGCTGGCAAGTCGCACAAGTTGGCAGTGGGTTTAGAGGTTGCTATGGCTGTCAACAGAGGTTAACCGCAAGCAAGTCGAGGAGCCATGAACCCGCTAACCGGGTCGCGCTTGGACTATCGAGCATCTGGGCCGCCTTTGTCTGTGGTCTCGTTGCCCCTCGAGATGAGATGCAGCGGCGATGGTGGGCTAAAGACGGGACGGCCGAGGACTTGCAGGTAACGCAGAGCTTGGAGACGGAGAAACGGCGACTTGGATGACGAGGTCGGAGAATATGAAGCAGTGGAGTGGTGTCAGCAACGCGCTTGGGGCAGGTAGGAGGTAGGCTTTCGTAGAAGTGTCCGGCCTGCATGGCTGGTTGGCAACGACGCAATCGAAAAGACACGAGGGTGAACAATGCGTCGATGGCGCGGTTTGTTCAGCAACCGCCAAGGGTCGAATAACACTGAGTAGAGTGGCCAAGAGGCTGCGGAAGAAGGCTTCTGCCGATTCAGACAGTCTGGCATCCTGCCATTTCCTGGACAAGTTTGTCTCCTGGGGGCTGGCTGGTATGGTTTGGTTATGGGATGCCTCTGCAGGTTGTACCTTGTCTGGGCCATCTCGCTAAGCCGTCAGAGTTGAGGCAATCAACCTGGCGCAATCACATTGTTCTGGCAACCTGCTGCAGGCAGCCACTGGCAGGGCGAGATGGAGTGAGAGTGAGGACGTGTAAATATTGTTGTTGTCGCCAGAAGGGGTCCGACGCCACGAGGAAGGGTATTCGTAAGGGTCCGTGACTAAAGGCTGCAGAGGGGGATGCGGCGCAGGACCATTGGAGGGCGTTGGATTGACGTGGGTTAGCGGCCGGGACAACGGCAGCAGCTCCAGCTCGTGATGATTTGCTGAGGCGAATTGGCGGTTGTCGGGCAAGCAGTGCCCGTCTGTCTGACTGACTGTCTGACTGACTGTCTGACTGTCCGTACCTTACCTAGGCACTTGGAAGTAGGTACCTTAGGCAGAGGCAGGGGGAGAGTGAGAATCAAAAGAAGAAGGCACGGCAGGACACTTGCACCCGCCCGGCTACTTTCTCAGATGGAAAGAGCACCACACTGCACCTCAGCAATTACCAATTACGTGCGCAACAGCAAGGAAAGAGGCACGACGGGATGTCTTTCCGTGTCAGGAACCCTGACCCAAGCACCTCAGCTTGCGGACCTGAGTTGGAGACTGCAAGTTCGTCCACCACCCAAGGTACCTCAGCCATAACCTACAGCCAGGGCAGCAACCTCACCACCCACACACACCGGAGTCTCCGTCCCGCCTCCGGCCTCTTGCGTGCTCGACGTGAGGTCTTCGTTCAGCCAGCAGCCAATGGCCCAATGCCTACCTCTCCAGTCTCTCTTGTCGGCATCAAATGGGCGCCCCGCGAGTCGCCAGCTGAGGTGGAGAACGCAGAGGGATGCAACTGAATCTTGTCTCCCGTTGTCTCCCGTTGTCGGCCCTGCAGACCGGCCCTGCGCGGTAGCAGCAATGCACATCACGGTTCCGCAACGACGGATGCCTTTCGATCCAATGCAACCGTGGACCGCAGCTTCTCCATCTCTCCCCTTTCAGCGCCAGCCATCCTCCCCACCAGCTGGACCCCAACCCGGCTCTTAGCACGACAGATATACACCCGCCTTCAGGGACTGCCTCTATTCTGGGTTTCTGTTGTTTTGCAGTCCAAGAGCCCGCTGCCGCCGTCGAGATTCCTTGGCGGCCTTGCGCTGCGTGCGAATAGCTGCCCCTTTCAGACCCGTGGGGTTATGTTGCTCGCTTCTGCGTGGAAACACCAACAACATGCGACGCGACGGTGCGACAGTCCATGGCCACGCCCGCTGTCGCTATTGAATCACGACCACGGAATAACAACTTTCGTACCTTACCTTGAGCAGTAACCTACCGGAACCGTGCCGGAATCCGCGACGCGCTCAGAGACCCAACCAGTCCCATCATCCCTCACGGGCCACAACTCGTCGAGGCCTTGCGGCACCGGCTTCTTCGGGACTCGACTGGGAATAATTTGATCAATTCATCTATAATCGCAATCATAACTGTCAACCCGAACAAGACAGAAGAAAGCACCACGAAACAAACTTTTCCTGCTCCGCGGCCCAGACTCGTCTACCTGACACCTCTTCAGCCCGGCCAGGCACGCGGCTAGCAGAAGAACCAAGCAGAACCCAGCAGCATCTTTGCCACTAACAAGAGCCACAAGAAACCGAAGACAAGTCCAAGGGAAGAGTGCTCCGGTTCCGCTGCTGGTAGCCCGCACCGCATTCGCTTGTTGATCCTTCTGATTGGATGCCGCTGGTCATGATGCCGACCTCTCCATTGCGCGGGCGAGAACCGCAGCTGGCGGGAGACGACACGACCAGAAAGACTCTTCGTGCTCACACCGTTTCTAGACAGCCTGGGCCAGTTGATGGCCTCACTGCACCGGCAGTGGGTCTTGGTCAGGAACAGGCCAACGTTCACTCACTCAAAGTTATCACTTGTGGCCCTGGAGAGTGAACCGGGCCAAGACTGACTCGCATCCCGGGAACCGTTGAAAAGACGCCCGCATTACTGAGGCTATCTATCGGCAGCCAACATGTTCCTTGCTAGGCTGCTTGTAGGCCTGTTGCAACGCCATGGCTCGGCAGGTATCTGCAGCGCCTTGGCTGACTGTGTCTATGCCGCGCTGAACTGCAGTCCCCTCCCTACGTAGTGGTTACAGTACGCAATGTCTGATAGCCGGTCATCATGGAGCCGTGGTGTGATGTCGGTCATCACCGCAGCCATCGTGCAGATGTCGGAAATGGCGAAGAACTTCATGAGCCCCTTGAAGCCGCAGAACCCCCACGCGTGCCGACGCGCAGGACACTGAAGGCAGACTTCAAGTACTCACCTCCCGAGCTTCGGACAGCAATTACTCGTCCAATCTCTGCACAAATGCCGAGCGGAGAAAATGCGCTAGGCCCGTCCGTCAGACCTGGGTTGACCCTGTTTCAACCCGTCTTACTACACCGACCTCTGAATCCCCTCTCTGCCCACTGGCTGATAGAGACTTCATTTGCTTTACGCAGTGTGAAGTGGCTAGCTGGTCAGCACAACGGCATCCCTTTTGGTCAGCCTTACGTGCCACAGAAATGCATCGTCAATGTTTGACCGACCTTTGGCAGAGAATGGTGGCTTGCTCGTCTTACACATCCGAAGGGCCAAGGGGTGCTCCGGGAAATCGTCACTTCAGATTGGACGGCGACAGCAGCCACTGGCTACTTTCTCTCCGTTCGTCCTCTTCTGAGCACCGAGCATCGGCCTCGTCTGCGTGTTCTAGACAGCCACACTTGTCTTGGGACGGACGACGGATGTCTCCCGCGCGCACGGTCGCCGCACCCGAGCTTCACAGAGTTGGCGGAGGTGGACCGCAAGAGATTGTCTCAGTGAACTTTCCGTCATGGCCTGCACCCATCCGAGGTTTGCAAAAGGGTCGAAATGAGGCCAAGAAGGAACAGCGACGCGTTCGCGCAAGCCTCGACCGTCACTCTACCCGCCGACTAGGCCGCAAACGCATTTAGACTCTGCTTGCTCGGTCTGTCTGGGGGATCGTCGCCAGGGCAGTCAATGACAGGCCGATCAGTGCTCGATTCCGGTGACGTTGCAAGATTGAGCTCGTCTTACGGGCGGGCGGCCAAGTGTCTATCGGAATGTCGAGTGCTTACTGGGGATGTCGCCGGCCATCCCATAACTGTGTTTTCCTACGACAGACAAAATTCAGTCTCCCTTGAGCGCGAGGTCAGTAGGCTGAGACATACGTTGGTCGCGAGTGGTTACAAGCACATCAGAGACACGAGATGGAAGCAAAGACGCACTCATTCACCTTTCCGGGCTCGAATCGCGGCCAATGCCCGTCATCGACCTGCCTCGGTGGACCGTTCGGAAGTTTTTCTCCCTCGTACAAGGTCTTACTTCGCAGCATCCTTCCTAGAGCTGCTGGATCTCACTGGCCGACATACTGGACCAAGCATGCAGAGGTGTCAGTGATCATCCTTTCCTGCAACTTTACGAAGTCGGAGGCTGCAGCAACTTGGCTGGTGGCAGTTGGGGCAACTCCATCTCGTCGGTCCCATGTCCTGGAAAGGCAGTCCCTGGTGCCTGCGCGGTGCGACGCTAGAGGCCCTGCCGCGGCGGTCTTTTAGTTGACGGCGGGCCAGTTCTAATGAGTCGGTTCATGTGTGTTAGTGTCATCAAGGAAGTGCTGATTACCTACGCTAGGGACGTTGGGGCAACTGGGTCGTTTCCCAGCTTTCTTCCCTCGAGTTGACCAGGCACGCGTAGAAGCCGTCACCCGCGCCACCATCCCGAACCAGCAGCCGATATCGAATATGAACCCCTTCGCGCCCTAGTCACGGGCGGCGTCCCGGCTGGCTGTCCGTTTACCTGCTCCCGCCTCTTGTCTCCCCGTTTTCGTTTCGTGCCTTGATCAGTATTGAAATGTGATGAGTTTGGGGTGCTCTTCTTAATCGGCCTGACAGCAATAATCCTTTCTCTGGTGCTGTCCCGCCGACACGACAACATCGCGTCTGGACCCCAATGGCGACGCGGACAGGGATACGTGGGACAGACGGGGACGGGGATCGCGGCTCGGGAAGACGCAGCAACGTGAAACTTATCGATATTGTACTGTTCTCTCTCGCAACCTTCTCGAGTACAGTTCATGCAGCGGGCAGCAATGGTGCGTTACACCAGTCAACATCGCTTGGCACGATTGCGGTAAGCTGACACACGCACAGCACAGCGCGTTGCGCATTTCCCAAGACAAGCTGTGGGTTTCAACCGCACAACGTCAACCAGCTTAATAAGTCCGTCGTCGCAGGACGCATTTCCATCTACTCAAGTCGAAACAGCTTCAACCATTCAATCGGCAAGCGGAAGTCTTCTGTCTGCAACAAATGGACAGCCGTCAGCATCTCGGTTTCCAGGAGGAACCCTCTCAGTGACAGGACAGCCAGGAACAGGCCGCACAGCGTCCCCAACATCAGACGAAAGCAGTTCGTCGATCTCGAGGAGTTCGATCTCATCGAGCGTGGCCAATGGGACGTCCCAGGCCCCAGGCGTCGTCAGCACGTCAGAGGTGTCAAACTCGACGTTTACCAGAAACCCTTCAAGTACAGGGTCATCCGCACTTTCAGACGCCTCCTCCCGCAGCCTGAGTGCTTTACCCATAGCGAACACATCAACAACAAGTCCAGGTAGAAGCGCAGTTTCGGCTTCCATAACAACGTCGGTATCGAGTCTCGAACCATCGTTTCCCATCAGCAATGCCACAATATCCGCCTCGCCAAGCGGCAACTCCAGCAGACCCGCGACGAAACTTACCGACACGATCGAAGGAAATTCAGTCGTGGTCTTGACGGTTCCCACGGGTTACGAACCAGATGTGTCATGCATATCGACCAGCGACGGCGCCGTACCGACAACCTGGTCCATCGTCTACACCTCCACGACGACTTTCTATGGGGATCCGGCAGACTATACGCCCCCTCAGCCCGAAATAACTGTCCCAATCACATGCTCTCCTTTGGGTATAGGAGAAGGAAAATCGAAATCGCGCATGGCGTCTGGATTCGCGACATGCACGGATGGGAGTGGATGCACCGCCGCCGCTCTGCCATCCATGGTGTTCACCATGTCCACGCCAAAGATAGGACCTATTACGACCTATACGTTCGTCACGACGGCCAAGAACCCGTCAGTCGTTTATTCACCCATCAGCACACCACGGTACGGCCATGATCCTGAGACGAAGGCCCCGCAAGATAAGCACACAGCTGTGAAACCTGCAGACAAGCCCACCGACAATCCCCGGCAGCCGGCCCCCAACGACCAGAAGCCACCCGACTCGCCGACAAACCAGCCTCAGCCGGCCCCAGACAATCAGAGGCCACCCGAGTCGCCAACGAGCCAGCCTCAGTCGCCTCCAAACGACCAGAGGCCACCCGCATCAACGGTTCCGCCACGTGCGAGTGTAAAGGAACCACCAAAAGCCACTTACACAATCACCGTCGAGCCCACCAAGGTCATCGTCAACGATCAGACGTTCACAGTGACGAACCCCTCCGAGACACTTCAAGTCAGCGTGAGCGGTGCGGAATTCACAATCAACCCGAGCGAGGTAGTCGGTGGAGGTACCGTTGTTGACCGGCCGGGCAATGTTGGCCGAAGCACCGTGGCACCTTCGAGCACCGTCGTGGGAGATGTACCAGTCGTCGTTGCACCAGATAGTTTACAAAATGTTGTAGTGGTGGGAGGGACGACGTTCGAGCTGCAAGCTACACCAGTCGTGGCCGTGGTCCAGGGGCAGACCATTACGATTCAGTCTTCCGGCATCGTGTTCCCGAAACAAACGGTGTCGATCAATCGATCGTCACCGACGCAGACGGAGATTGTCGTTGCGGGCGGCGAGATGGTGACCGCTATTGGTCCCAGTGTCGTGGTCGTTCACTCGACGACGTTCACGTATGGCCTGGCGTCGTCCACCATCACAGAGATTGTCGACGATGATACCATTCTGATAGGGCCATCAGGGGTCATTGTGCACAACGTGACCTTGGGCGGCCCAAACGCGAAGGTCTCGGACACGGCCTTTGAGATCGTGGGTGGTGCGACGATCACACAGGTAGGAGCTTCGGCGGTCGTCGTGGAAGGCAAGACGTTCACAGTCGGTCCAGGGAGAGGGACCACGACGACCGTCATTGGTGGTGAAACCATCATAATTGGCCCATCCGGGGTAGCTGTGTCAACCCTCAGCCTGCGCTACCCCTTTGGGCCGACGGTTGTCACCACAATCAGCGCGCCGACAGCCACAGCGCCGTCGGCGCCGGCACCTTCGGAGACGAAAACGAACGGCGGTCTAGGTGTGAGGCACGCGAAGAGGACAGCAGGTCCCCAAGTTGAGTTTTGCATAGCGATCGGCGTCTGGGTTCTGGGTCGGTTGGTTTGAGACACAAGGTTCATGACAGATGTGCCAAGGCGTTTACGGTTCTTCTCTCTTGGTGAAGCAAGGCCTGGCGTGGCAAGGCTGGAAGGAGAAAGTCCACGGATTTGGGAAAATGGGGCTCTGCGCAGACGCGGGAAGGGCTGAAGTGTTGCCATCGGCGGGCTCATGATGGCACGACGCCCAGGGACGGCTAAGGCGGGACGTGGGTGGGGGAGGGGGGATGCCTTCAATGCGACCTCACCTACGTCTTTCGAACTGTATTATTATACACCTCTAATCATAGTTAATGCTGCCGCTAATGGGCCTCAAGCGGAGAAAAGGTCGCAGCAGCAAGGCACAGCCTCTCACGGCCGCACGTCGTCATCGGCCTTGCGACTGTCAAAGGCCATATTGTGACGGGTGCCGAACGATAAATATGACGCGCATCATATCATCTGAATTCCAGCTATGTGGGAGAGAACCATTCTAGAAAAAGGGGCACCGCCATCATGATTGGGTTGCGCAGTTTGGGGCTGATCTGGAAAAGTTCAGATGATACAGGTGCACGAGTCGGCTGCCATGTTGGATACTGTGCGGAACTCACAAGCGAGGTGTAGACCCCATGGTCGATTTGCACATGGCTATACGTCACGGATAATCCCTGTCTCGGCGACAACGACGATTGAGTTCCCCTGACGGCTCGCCCCAACGATGCCCTGGCTTCGGCAACGACATCTTTGCCGCAGCACGCCAAAACCTCTCAGCCTTGGGAGGAGCCGTGGAGCCGATGGGGGCCGGCTGGGGGGGAGAGAAAGCGTGACGGACGGGATAGGCGATGTTCGATGTTGAACCGGGGGCCATACGCACACCACGCGCGCGCGCCTCTCTTCGTTTTGAAAAGCCGTCCCGCAGTCCGTCAAGGTCCGAAACCAATCCACAGCCAGCCCACCAGAGCTGTCAAGCTAGCGATGGGCTGAAAACAACATGCGGCCTTTTCTCAATCTATCCACTACCTGATTTAAACGCCAAGAGGTCGGGGAAAAGGGACGAATGGGGTCTCCCGGCAGATAGATTGGCTTCTTCACTTCAGCCCTTCCTGCTACGGTAACAGACCTGGAGGCGACGTTGAGGCGTGGTTTCTATTTTGCGATTCTTGTTCCCTGTTTTCTCTCCCGCTCTGCCAAGGGGGGAAGGGGGGAAGTTCTAGAATATCTTGGACGTCTCATGGATGTAAAGCTGGTTGATAGAGGCAGAGTTGAATATCCCAAAGGGACCAGTTGCGAGACCGATCACGCGTACTTGAAAAAAAGGTCGGGATGAGACGGAATGGAATGGGACTATGTCGACGGTTCTGGTTAACTCTAATACTAAGAACCGCTAGCTTCCGCAGTGGGAGTGTTAAGACAATGTCTTGTGGTAGACAGGAGGGGGCGGGACTGGGTGGACGCTACGCGGGGACTAGACCGGGATGACATGTTGATGAGATGTTGCCCCTTCGGAGTTGGGTACCGGCTCCGCGAGGGCTGGGCTCCGGAGGATTTCTCCTCCGATCCAGCTATCGTATGGCATTGGTGCGTGATTGCTGTTGGAATCGCTCGTTCGATGATGGATCAGGATACTTCACTGTGTGTTTCGTCCAGATGTCATTTTCAAATGTCGCTCGTCAGCCCTACGCCGCTCCCTCGTATCGCAAGACAGACGTCACGGGTCTCACAGGCTGGAATTCGGGTAATACTGAGTTCGGAGGGTTCGTAAGACCGAGGAATGTGATTAACACATGCATTGCTTCGGGAGCTTATCTGATGGTTGCTTTGCGAGACACTGTGCCCATGCGAGATATCATGAAGATGAGAAGGTTCATGATTTATGACGACGAGTAAGGGAGACGTTGAGCCCTCTTGTTGGGACTGTTTTGTGATGATGGTGGGATGGAGTCTGATGGGCTGGAGAAGTAGTCGAATGCGTACGCCGAGAGTGCCCAGACGGAACGGCCTCCGGTGCGGGATGCTTGCGGTCATGAACTGGGTCCGGCGCTGATCCGGGCGACATCTGTAGAATTCTCTACTTGGACCGTTGCGTTTGGGGGTTTGGCGGCCGTAAAAGAGCTGTGGTATCAGATTTGGAGAATGCTTCCGTATCGTGAACCACACCGCAAGTCACTAAATACGAACCAGAAGCTATCACTCTCTCAATGGCATTGATACCTTAGCATGCCAGTATACATAGTCATTAAACTTCGGCCTATAGAGCTGGTAGAAGGAAAGAGGGAAATATGGGCATCATGTTAGCAGGCTCGGGGCTTGATATTGTTCACGACGTCTCCAGCTTACCGCCTGAAAGTCGGTATTCGGCACCACGAGCTCAATCTACTACGTCGAATTCAACGTTCCACAATCTCACTGCAATTGTGAGAAAATGGCCTGTGGGTTCACTATTAATTAACGGACACGGTGGGTCTTCTTTGGAAGCAATATCAGAAGCTTCGGATGCCTCATCCGAGCCATCACTGCCATGCTTCATAACCCGACAATTTCTGAACCCCTTGTCAAGAACTGATATCCCATTGACTGCAGTGACAGTTCCTTACAGAGAGTTGGGGTCTAGTTTAATAACAAGTATTCTTTCTGATGTTAAGATATACTCAGTTTTCCATATGCCCCATCACGATTCCCCGAACACCGTTGCAACCAGGGGCCGCATGAATCCGTATACGAGCGTAGGACAACACCCAACCTACACAGACACCGTTGCATCCCTTGAATCTGAATGACCTTCTCCTACTCTGACATTTAATTACTCCCACTCCTTCATCAAAGTGTTGCTCTCAATCTCCCTATCAAAACCCACAATATGCGTCGAGTGGCACCATGGCTTGATCTCCTCCTCCTTGCGAATCGTCCCTGCAAAGAACGAACACCACCCCAGTCTCGGGTGAGCGTCGTTGATCTCCCTCCTCGTCTTGTCGTGAACCATCTTGTCAAAGGCCTTCACGTTGGGGTGCCTGCCGACGTTGTCGTACAGCGTGGCCAGCTGGATCAGCTGCCCCAGGTACGTAATCGTTCCGTCGACCCCCATGTCCTGGTGGCGGATGATTGCTTCGCAGACGGCCTCGGCCTGGTCCGTGGTGGCGCCGTGGTCCTTGAGGGCGTCGAGGGCTTTGATGCCGCCGTAGATGTCGAAGGACATGCGGGTCGCGGTCAGGTTCTCCTCCGCCGTACCGATGTCGTGGAGGAGACAGGTCAGGGCCCAGGTCGCGGGGGAAAAGGAAGAGGCCTTCTCCGGGAATTGTTGTTTAGTGATTGCCATGCCTGGCAAGGGTTGTTAGCACGTAACGCTATGCCCGTCAGAGAACGCACCATAGTAGAAGACTCTCATGGAGTGGTTGAAGGTTTGAGCGTGGAGGCGTTCTTTGGCATAGGTCAGAGTCTTCGCGACGACCGGGTCATCGGACGGAAACTGGATGTCTTGGACCGAGATGGGTGCCGGTTCGTGGAGGAATGGTTTGTCGCCAAAGATCTTTCCGGCATCGACTGGCACGGCAGTCCATCCGTTGGCTTCGATGTCGTGTTGGCACATGTGTGTGATGATGGCTGAACGATGCACGAGCTAGTAGAGATCTTTGGAATCACTTCGTGCCAGACTACGGTTTAGTCTAATCTGGCAAAGCCTCGAACTTATGTACTCGGTGCTGACAGTGACACATCACCTGAAATGTGTACCGAACCTTATGTGGGCGCAAGATGACAAAGTTCTGCTGCCTTCTCGCAGCTCGGATGAGAACACAGCCTCCTCCACTCACCCGGGGCCGAAGGGCGCGCCGGCGGCCGGTTGGGTCTCGGAGTCTCTTGCCTGGGTTTTTGCCGCTCATGGCGGAGTTGACCCGCCTGAAGGGCGCGATCGACATAGACTGTCAATGAGATTCATACGCAGAAGCTCATGGGTTCACATCATGATTTGAAAAACATTACGTTGAAGATTTCCGACGTTAGTCAGCCCGGAGCTCGGCTCGAGTTTGCATGCCGAATGACACCAAGTTAAGTATGACTTTCCTATTACGGACATGATCACGCAAAAGAGAATGAATGGGCCAATGTTTGTTCATCTGTTGTCTTCTCGTCTCTTGCGGTTGGCTCAACATGACATTAAGCTTGAGTCGTCACGTTGCAGGTTCAATATATCACCTAATTTACCGTGATTACCATATTTACTCAGAAAGCCACAGTAGACTGTTTGAGCTCTATCTCAAGCGTACCTCAGCATCCTCTTTCTCTTTCGCATTTCACTTCTGAGAAGGTATTCGTTATGTATAGTGCAATGGGCGTTGCGTGTCTTCATTTCCTCAACACCTCAAGGATTTTATTTGCATCTTGGTGAGCGTTCGAGACCAGACTCTTTGCACATGTTACGTCGTCAACCGCTTTGCCAAACTTCGATTTGGTGAACTAAAAGAGATGTCAGCTTGTTTGGTAGTCTACATATACTCTCAAGCTACAATTGTAGCAATGCAGCCTGCTGGCAGACCTTCCTCAAATCCGAGTTCGGCAAATTTTCACCACAGCACAACCCAAGTCTTCTCGAAGTCAACTGCCGCCAAGCTTGTCAACCAGAGAACGCCCAGAAAGCCGGGATTGAGCCAAGATTTGTGTATCCGATGACGCTCGACCGTGGAAAAGGCGGTTGCCACTCGAGACCTGAGTCTTTACTAACAGCCGCGCCTCGTCATGTGTCACTTTCCTTCGTCCTGCTCTCTTGTCTGGTAGACTTAAGTAGTGGTCTGCTACTCTGCTCCATATCACAATCTCTGGGACAACACCGCAAGGTAACCGCACACCCGGATGAAGATATGTCAATTTCGGTGGCGTCGTTCTACATTGATCCACCAACCTCAGTAGTCGGCGAGGACGGACAGAGACGGAAGATGCACGACAAGCTGCACCATACGCCTTTTCTGCATGGCGCATACTAGCATGATCTGTACAACAACTCAGCGGGAACGGACGTGGTACGGGCTCAAATGTATCTATTCTCTAAGGGTCCTCATGAACAATGCTCTATAAGCAAGACCCCGGGTGATATGAGTACGAGCAGACAAGTATTACTCGTAAAGAAGTAGATGAACGGCATTACCTGCGGCGATGCAGAAGAATAAGACCAATTGCTTCACAAAAAACACGGAAATCGAATAGACGCAACTCAAACCAACAGACCATCCTCACTCACATCCTCCCTTTTCCTTTGCCCCTGGTCTCCAGCACGGGGAACTCCTCCTGCTGGAAGTGATCCTGCTCAATCCCTAGGCCGGGGTGGCCGCTGGCGGTAGCTTCCTGGAGGCTGAGCCTCAAAGCTAACTCGAGGTCGTCTTCCTGCGGCGGGGGCCTACTGGAGCCAGCATCACCGGCGCTCAGAGCCAGAGCAAGCTCCAGGTCGTCGTCTCTGGGCGTGGCCCTGCTGGAGGACCCCGCTGCGTTGTACCCGGCGTTGGGTGTGTAGCTTGCTGACGGGGATGTAGATGGTGTCCGCTTCGTTTTCTTGGTCGCCTTGGGCTTGTACTTGACTGCAAACTCGTAGTCGCCTGAGCTGTTGCCTCGTGGCGACGGTCCAGTGTCGTTGACTGCCTCCATGAGCGAGAGCCTCAGCGCCTGCTGAATTTGCACTTCATATTCATCCTCCTCGGGTACCGGAGGGGGCGGTGTGAAACCGGTCACACTTGGCTCCGGCGTGACCGTATCGACGGTGCTCTCGCTGAACGAAGATGCCGTGTCCAAACCGCCGTCAGCTGCCGAGCCAGTGTCGCTGGCACTAGTACGCCGCTGCTCCTCCAACAACAAGGTCTCCTGGGAGATCATCTCAGCGTACTGGATGGCCTCCTCTTCGGTCAAGTCGCCGAACGCACCAACGCCGAAGCGATTGCGCAGCCAGGCATCTTCACGAGCCTTCTGCTCCTGCTCTCGGCGGAGTTCCGCAGTTTCGGCGGCGATATAACCAGACACGTTGCCACCCTGGCGACGCGTCGCCAGGCGGCCGTGAATGTCGGAGTGACGAAGACGGCGCTTGCGGCCGGGAGGTTGAGTGATGGCGCTGTAAGCCCAGTAGCGCAAGAAGGCGCCAAAGGACGTGATGCCGCGCAGGACTGTCGGGTCAGGGTCGAGATAGATGGCTCGCGCGGCCGGGTACGTGTCCCCACTGAGCGAAGGGTTCATCGTCAACATGTGACGAGGGACGCGACCCGCGGAGCGGGCATTGAGGGTACGAAGGGGCTCCAGCGTTGAAGCAAGAGGGTCCCATGCCTGGACCAGGCCGTCGGTCCCCCCGTGGACGAGGTAGAGAGCTGTCAAGGCTAGACACGAAATTTCAGGAGAGTCTGTTTGGATCACACGTAAGGGCTTGACCTCCGTGTTTTGCTGGTCGCGCATGTTCCAAACCACCACGCCGCCTGTCTTGGTTCCAATCGCAATCATGCGAGTCCTTCGGCCTGGGATCTCCGCGAAACTCTCTGCGGTTTGCGGTGTCATTGTGGGAGTGGCTGCCGACTTGTGCCCGAAGTGAAGAGGGTCCTCGTACAGAGTCACGAGAGCGTGGGAGGAAAGATCTACGGCGGATGCTGTGATCTCTGACACCTGGCTTCCCAGTGCCAGACTGGAAACAGACCATTCGTCCAGCGAGCTGAGCGTGGCCGTGGGAGTCAGCAAACCCGAAGAAGCCGGCGTCACATCGCCCTTGCTCGGTTGCTGCGCCACCATAGGCTTGACATCGACGATGCCATCTCCGAATAAAGACGTCGAAACCGGTATCGACTCTGTCAAAGGAGTGGAAGCGTCCTCGACACTTGGTCGGGGCGTTTGGGCGACAGATCTAACAAAACGTGTGACTTCGGGTTCCGATTTGTCAAGGCCACAGCGGATGGACACGATGATTTCTCCCGCGCCGCCGCCATCGTCGTTGGCGAAATCGACTTCCAGTCTTCTGCGCATATCCCAGCCGTCGCAGACTCTTCGGAAATGGTTAGGCTTGTACCGCATGAACTTGTCAATCTCGCGAGCCTCTGCGACGAGCTGTTCTCTGCTCAATTTCATCGCGTCCGCAGGAGACCGAGGGGAGTAAGCGCCCTTGAGCGCGTGCTTATCTAGGTCATCGGCCTGTGCTTGGCGGCGGGTGTGGTCGATGAGCTGCCAGTAGACCGATCTGCCAGCGTACCAAGCGTTCTTGGTAATGTCCTCGCCCTTGGCTCGCTCAACGGGTGACCTGGGGACATCGACAAGGTAGTAAACCTCACCCAGGGCGTTGAGAGCGACAGCCCAGACTCGCTGAGCGGTCTTGCGCTTCTGAGTGTACTGCTCGTCGACCTTCAGAGATACAATGGGGACGCCTGGGCTGAGAACCCAACGGGCTGTCATCTCGCCATTCGCATGTCGGGGACCGCTACCGTCTCCTCCGAGGGCATAGCATGTAACAACTCCGAGCGTTGAACCTGTCATGATACCAACGACCGAGTGCGTCATGTTGGGTACCGCTGTAGACTTGGCGATCCAGACACTAGAAAGTGCCTCTGACAGTTCCGGGATTTTGGGAATGTCAGGATACGTGTCGATCACGCCGGTGTCAGTGCCGAGATATCGGCCACGCAGCTCGTTTGCGGGACGGAAATAGGCGCGTCCGCCGGGAAAGCCTTCGCCAGAGATGAGTCCATAAGGCTGGCTTACATCCATGACATTGGGGCATGCAGCAGGTCCGTCTCCAACGCCGTATGGCTCCAATTGTGGCATAACCTCATCCAGCTGAAGGGTGGAGAACGGGTCGTTGAAGCCCCATTTCTCGACTCTCCCGTTGGTAGGATCGCTGATTGTCCCAACACCCAGGTCTGCCGCCCCGTGAATTGCCTGAGGAGGTTTCTTCGCCGCGGCGGTAGAGAACACGGCGTGTACGTGCGTAACAACCCAAGGCAGTTTCGAGTTGTAGGTCAGAACGGCACTTGACTTCTTGCTGCTGCGAGTGGAAGACCCAATGCCGGAGCCCGGCTTGCCCCTCACAAGGCCCCGAAGCAGACGCGTGCGCAGCAAGTACTCGCTCCTCCATGTCGCCAAAGGCGTCAGGCGCGCGAAATAGCGCGCCTCAGATCGCACAAACTCGGAGATGTCTTCTTCAAGGGGACCCGGACGAGGCTTTCCAGAGTTATCATCCAGCATGACATGGCCCGGGAAGAATCGCAAAAAGGCCATTCGCCACGCATGGGGAGTGGTGACGAGGGCGTAGAAGCGCTTCGACACGAGCGCCACGGCCGAGTGGGAATCGGGATGCAAGTGGGATAGGACATGGGTCAAGATCTCTGCGCAGTCTGTAAGCCCTCATGCGTACAAATTCACGAGGGCAAGCATGGCATACCGTTGGGAAAGTCTGTAAGCTGAACGCCATCAGGTCGTGGATCGGATCGCTTAATGACTTTGAAGCCCAATGGCTGTCGGGGCGAGGGCGTGAGGGCATTCTCGTAATCAATCACTCTTTGACCGGCGATGGAGGGATAGGCCTCGGAAGTGAAGCTGGCGCTGTCGAAACTCAGCCCGCGAAGCTTCTCGTCGAGCTGGGCAGCGCTGATGGCGTTGAGTGAGTCACGGCGGCCACCGTCCGGGACAGAGCGCGGGGATGCGCCGCCGGAGTCGGCGCGACGGAGCTGATCGACGCCGGTCGGCTGTTGGCGGTGACGAAAGCCATGCTGACTTGAGGAGGAGGGGTTCGAGGGGTTGTCTTGTTGATTGCGCGTTTCCGAAGACTCAGTTGGCCAGTGTTGCATAAAGCTGTGGTGGGGGTGTTCGTGGGCAGGTGGCGGGCGACTGTGCAAAGGCAGTGTGCACAGTCTTGGGATAGAAAGGGTATATTGGGAGGCAAAGAAGCGCGAGCGGCGTGTTGGAATGTGATGCGGATGCTACTGGAGCGTGGGCGTGTCGTCGTCGTGTACTGAAGTTTAAGTGAAGCTTTTCGAAGCCGCGTTTCGTGACGAAATGTCCCGGGAGATTGCGGGCGTGGATTATCTCCGGGCCGGGTCCTTATCGGCAGAGCTTTGACAATCTCCCGCCTATCGCTCATTCAGAGCATCACCAACAGCGTCCCTAGGCAAGATGCAGACCACAAGTTGAATACCACTGTCACATTCTATTTCGGATGAAGGCGCCCAATCTCAGCAAGTTTGTTGGAAGTTCAATGAGTTGCACGCGAAAATGAGGAACTCATCGGCACAGGTATCGCAGGCAGCGGCCTCAGTGACAAAAGACGCATCCAGACCGACGACGACATACGAGGCACAGCACATTCGTCTTTTGGAGGCATGTGAGCTACCCTCTTGCATTATCCATAATTAAGATTGGAGGTCATCGAGAGAGAGAGAAGACGAAGACAAAAAAGAAATTAAAAAATTAGATAAATAAATAAAGGGAGGCCAGTAATGGCAAAAGATGAAGATGCGGCCAGTGTGGATTGAACACACGACCTTCAGATTAAGAGATTGAAGTTGACTTCAGTCTGACGCTCTCCCAACTGAGCTATGTCCGCCGATCTTCGGANAGATTAAGTGATTGAAGTTGACTTCAGTCTGACGCTCTCCCAACTGAGCTATGTCCGCCACATTCTTCGGATTGCGATGTCAGCAAATGGCCAACAGCAGACTAGGAAGGCACACGCTAAGCAGTGGAGCTGTGTGAACCAGTCATGCTGACTTCTCCAGTGGATACGACCAGCGGCAGGTCGTATCCTGAACAATCAACGGTCGTGTCTCACCTCAATGCTTTTGGGAATAACCTCGGAGCCGCTACCAAACACAGCTTCAGTGAGCATTTCCCTCATTGGGAAAGTCAGCAGCGAGACACGATGTCATGAAAGGGGGCAACTGCGACTGTGGGGGGATCTGACACTGTTCCTGTCAGCTCTGCAGCAGCTGTGGCACCTCAAATCCTTCGAAAGTCCCTTTTCACTCAAATATTGCCCGAGACGTCGGACTCCCCAGCACCATGATTCACGCACCTGACGTTTGACAGGCTTGACACATGCAGAACCAAGGAGGCACGGCTGACAAGAACCTGACAGAGGCACCGCCAACAACCAACACGACCACGACTCGGATCCATATCGCAGGGCACTCTTGGGAACTTAATATCCGTCATCCTGCTGTCGTTCGTTTGATCCACACAGTATTCGGCCTCAATTCCTTCGAAAAAGAATCCATTCCGCTGGAACCTGTCTCTATTCGTACCCAACGCGGAATCGATCCTTCGTGCCCCAATTCTGCAGGAGAACACGGATGCCAGACTGTTGGGACGCCGTGTCCTGGGACCAACATTCCACGGTTCGCTTCGATGGCGGCCGACGACCGGCCTGAATGGTGACAGCCACCGTTCACAGCCGGCCGAGGTGGCCTCACAAACACCCTGGGACTCCAGATTTAGATGCCCCGACCCCGGCCGACTAGTTCGGGATCGCACCACGTCGAAGCGGCCACCGCACACCTGAAGTTTCGACTCACGAACGTCGGATATCTTGCCTTTGACAATTGCACACAAGAACCGCAGAAACGGCCCTCAACCGTGGGCGTTCATCTCGTCCAAAGCACGGACACCGGCAACCCTAACAGCATTTCCTGCAACGACTCATTGTTCCGCCGTATTCCCGCCCAACATGAGTCGCGCAGCCAGGGCAGAGAGATGCCAGCCTGCTACGGTGCTACCAACAGACAGGACCCTGGGCTGGGCCACGTAACGGTGCCCATGAGCGCACCCCCCTCCCATTTCCCTCTCGCTGTGATCGACCCCCGGCTCGAACCCCCAATCTCCATCTTCGGTGAAGCCCTATGAAGAATGAGACAAGGGAACGGCCCCCGTCTTGCCTCCCGACGCCCAGGGTCTTATTCCTCTGTTCCGCGATGATTGCCTCCCGGCTGTCACAGCGCTCCGCAACAGTTGTTCACGCGCTGTGGTTCCGTCTTCCGCACCTGGACATCCCGTTCTTTGAATATCAAACTCTGGGCCGCGAACTGCGGCACAGCACGACGTGACGTGCTCAGCCCGGAAGGCACACTACCAGTCATCCAGGCCATCATTCACACACGATCGTCGCGGTTGTTACTTGAGCACGCGATCACGGCCGCTCAACTCTCACAACCCCAGGGAATCGGATCATCCCCTACGTATCTTGCATCCCAAGATTCTTCGAGGATCAATCACTTTTCATAAAGACCGTGCCCGCGACGCACTGACAGAGCATATGGGAATAACGACTCAGGAACCCCGACATCCGGCCCGGATCCGACTTTAAACAAGAGCATGGGCCTTTGGATCAATCACATATCCACCCAGAAAAACAACAAACCCACCTTGTTCACAAAAAGAGAGACCGGGTCAATTTCGAGAGAAACGACCTCCATCTGCCCAGAGTGACGTAGGTACCCGCACAGTCACCCATTCCCTTGGGCCGCGCTCTGACATTTGCAGAGTCCGAAGAGTCAGTACCCCATCACCGCGTAAATGAGGAACAAGACGCCCCCAATTGCCCCCATCGGCAAGCCATCTCGGCTATAGCGCTGCTCTCCGCGCCTGATCTTCAAGACGAGAACATCAAAACAAGTCTCGAATATTGCAACGGGCAGAATATTCAGCAGAAGAACTGGGGGTATCTGGCATATTCGGGCAAGTCGGCACAAGGACAAGACCCAGACAGAGAGACGTTGAGGCTCCAATTTTGGCCGTTTCCCGTTTCGAACCCCTTTACCGTTCTGGGCGTAGCGTCCTGTCAAACGGCTGTCATCAAAGAAACTTTCCGAGCATCCAGAGTCAACTCATGCCTGACGCGAGTCTATCAAGGATTCAGGGTTCCCCCTTCTTGTTCGTCCCTGAAAATCGCTCAAGAAGAGAAAACTAAAGCCCGGGCGCCTCTGAACTCTCCGCCAAGAAGGGAATAACACATCATGAAATGGGTGATGGGCAATTGCTGAATACCACCTTTGGAGCACGCGAACCCTGAACAATATGTCAACCTCCTTTCCGACCCCCTCGTGCCCTCGCGTCCAGAACATCAGATCATCCCACTAGGGGAGCCGATCAGGGGAAAAGGCTTTCCCGTACCGCACCGCCCTTCGTCCTTTCCCCTTTGCGGTCCATGTCTGCCGTCGATAGCTGCATTCCGTTCCCCGCGGTTCCGGCGTCGCGTCGAGTCCAGAACGAGTCTCTGTTCCCGTCCGGCGAACCATGCCTAGGCTCGGGAGTTGGAGAAAGGAGTTGCAAAATCAAAGACGCACAATCATCAGGGGAAAACGTCGACGAGCGGCACGAAATCGAACCAAAGACAGCCTTTGCGATTCGAGGATGCCCGACTGAGTCGTCCGACCCAAACCCCTGGACCGTCTCCCGCGGGCCTTCCCGCTCGCCTGTGATGCCATTCGAGTCAAACGGAACCTCCTTGAACCCCGTCAAAGAACCCACCATTTCTTCATGACAGCGAGCCAATGATGCCCAAAATGCAAAAAATCGCACCCTAGCAGGAAACAGCGGTTGAGCGGGAACCTCATCACCCGAGATGGAAAGGAAAAACAGGAATCTCTTCTCAACCCGCCGGGCCGCTGCGCAGCGCTGCCCTTGGTCGCTGCCCATTGCCAGGTTGCATTACAGCGTACAGCAACGCGGTGCATCGCCTCGCCATCACACCTCGCCACAGCACACACAGCACGCTGCTCTCGGAGCTACTTCTCCTGCAAGCCCTTGACCATCGTCCCACTCCAACAACATCAACCACGGTCCATGCCCTTTTTTATTATTACTTTTCTATCTTCTGCCCTATCTGGCATACACGTGTACCTGCTTCGCCCAACGGACCGCCACGCCGCCTGCCCTGCCCTGTCACCGTCCGCTCACCATTCGTTCGCGGCCACCGCGTCCCAAAACGGGCTGATCCGTTCATTCTCGCCCCCACAGGCCACCACCAGGCGTCCTGTAGTGTAATTCTTTGACCGCGGCCCCGGAGCAACTCCCGATATTGCACGTCACGAACGGACTGACTGTCCGTCCCACTCCCCGCCCGTCTTGTTGTGTGTTTCCCTTGCCTGCCGGCCCCCTCCCTCTCCTGGGGACCACGGCCACTTGGCGGCGCAACATCCAGCGAGGCTATGAAACGGTTCTTGCTGGCCATGCCCTTGAGCCTCGGAAGAGTTGCCGTATGTATTCCCCCCAGTCCTGGTCGCCATGTCCAGCGTATCCGTGTGTATCTACCTCCCTCTCCTGTCCTGTTGGCCCGCGCCTAATTGGCCGTATCGTAAAACGTGTGCCCCCTTGGGCTTCTCTCTCTGACCTCCTGACACGTAAAGCGCTGCACATCATTCGGATACACTTCGCAGATTGGCGGACGCATCTGGGAATGCCGGCCTGGGCAACTGCTGTTTCTGGCCGGAGTATGCACATCGTATCCCAAGAAAGAAAAAGGCAAAAGAAAATCCTGCAGCTTCTTCAGTTTGCCAACGGGAAACTCCGTGCTTTTCGAAACTGACGAACCAACCCGGTCGTTCAGTATGGATACCCATCACGCTGTGATGGACTTTAGAGCGGGCATGAAGAACACGCCCCACACTCCGTTGATAGACATCAACCCAGCAGCAGCAGCAGCAGCAGCAGCAGCAAGGCCTGCCTTGAACCTGCCACCTCAGCCTGCTGCTCACTGCTGCCGTTGTCATCTGCCATGCGTTCGCCGGGCAGCTTCCCCGGGTGGCCCGTGGCCCCCTCCCCGTGCACCACAAGATGCCCATCGTCATACGTAGTGTACAAAGCCCACAGACAAGCCCTGTTGATTGTCAGAGTGGCCGACTGAATCAAGTAAGCCATGCGTGTGTTTGCTTGCGCTTTCGACGGATGATTCCGTCTCGCCGATAACCTCACCGAAGAAAGAGGCACGCAGGCCGGGGGGGAGAAAGAGAAAGGCAACCCGGGACGGCATAATACGGGGCTCTTGCGAGCGGTTACTCCGAGAAGAAGAGATGCAGGCGATAGCACAGCCTTGCCGATGGCAGTGTAGCAATCCTGCGAGAAGCGCGTTGTCAGGATAATGGCCACCGAGAAAGAAGAGGCTACGTACCGTTTGAAGCTGTCAGGATTTTGGAGGCGGCCTGGCAGTCAACCCAGGGAGACTAGACTCGGGACTGATGCCGCGTGCCGGGAACTACCCAGGCAAGGGGAATGGAGGGTTTGTCGATATTGATAGCACAAGGCCCAAAGAGATGACAACTCTCATGTTGCCAGACCACCACCAAACCAAGCGCACCGACACAACTTGAGGGCCCGCGATATGTCTCTGTCAGGATAAGGGGTTATTTCTGAGTCGACAAACTTGATATAACCCTTCCCCGGAGCTCTCTTAAACCCTTCGGTAGATCGTTCCAGGCGGGAGGGACAGCGCCTTCAACGGCCATCGGGGGGCCCCGCAGCCTCAAAGTCTAATAGATAGATATCAAGCATGGCCGAACACCAGTGCACCACAACCCCCAGGCTTTGGGGGGAAGGGGAAGGGATCATAAGGTTTGGTTGGGCTGCCTTGTCCTGAATCCTGATGGCCATGCCATGCCAATGCCAGACATCGCCGTCTCTTGGGTCGCGCGGCCGTGGGTTTCTTGCAACATGTTGTTTTTAAGGTTCTGACCGCAGTCGATCAACCCTTGATGTTGCAATCTGCTGGGACGGCGCCCTTGGAAAACCTTCAGACCTCCCCTCTCTCACCAATCGCGGAATGCAACCCGGCGGACAAAGTCTGCCACCGAAACCGAGAATTTCGCCGGCCAACTCCTTTCCTGAACTAGTAGGATAGCTTCCTCGAGATAGCTTCATGGTTTGATACCACGTTTTCCTTGGCATCCGAATATCCCGTGATTCTGCTCATCTCCGAACGATCCTATCCAACATGGCCCCCCAAAAAGGATCTGTAGTCTAGAGTCTAATAGAGTTGCGCGAAACTCTAATGACGACAACCACACCGTACCGTACGCATGCACGTCGAAAGAGACTAGATGATGACGCTGGCCATCCCCTACGACTCTGTAAGTCCGTACCATCGAAATACCATCTGTACTGCGCTGATCAAAGCCCGGGGGTTGGTTTCTAAGCACACGTCGGGATTTGAAAGTTCGCAGTGCCAACGGCGCAGAAGTAAGGATCTTCAGCAAGGGCCCTCGCCTGAGAGGGGAGGGGGAACGGAGTTGATTGACAAACGGGGAAAGTAGCGCGGGCCGGTCGCAAGGACAGGGAAATGGCACCACATGCGGAATAGCCGCCTTTGCCCGCGCGCCGCGCCCAATTCTTTTCCTCCCTTGGAACGCGGATGTTGGGTTGCAAGAAAGTTGGGGCTGTGGAAATGCTGATGGTCGTCGGAGAGAAAAAAAAAAAAAACACTATTTTGATAAAACACACTTGCGGTGGCAAAATCGAGGAATAATCAACAACTGAACCACGTCGACTCGTGGGTTCGTCATTACCGCCGCCCCGCATTGGAGGGCGCCTCGTCTCGGGCCGTCCTGACAAGGACCGGGGACGCAAGCACTTGGGCTTCCAGAAGAGATGATGATCGGACGAGGCCGAGCGGCAACAATCACACGGTTCGGCTGCGAAAACTGTCGTCGCGGGACAGTTGGATTTGCACAACGCTCGGCACGATCGTCACAAAATGCTCGTCGTCATCGGAAGACCTGTTCAGCGGACTCCTCAGACAGCGTCGCACTTGCGAGCCATGTCTTTCCTGTTTTCGGAGAGTCATGACTAAGAAGCCGTTGGTCGGTGGACGTGTTTTGTGTCAATGGGCTGGCTTCCCAGTGAACGAAACCAAAACATGCGCAGACAATTTGGAAGAGGCACCGATTTAGCAACACGAGCAGTGTCGTGGCTATCAGAGCGAAAGACTGAGGCGCGGAAACGTCATAAAGAAGACCGTACTTGGGAGTTGGCCTAGGCACTGTAGGGTCTCATGATCAACGCCTCGGCGCCAATCAGTGCCAAAGACAATCTGGGCTGCCGAAACCGTTGAAGCGCACCATCTGCTTGGGATCTCTTGTTTGAAGTGGCGTAGATTAGAATACCCCGGAAATAACAGCGGGTGGGCGGCTGGCGATACGGCCTCAAGATCTGTACACGCCTGTCCATTCAGCGTTTAGTGAGGCTCTCAGCTGAATAAGTCGATACGCCCGCGGCCTCGTCGGCGTAGCCGTGGCATGCGATTCTGAAACTCGGGGGGCGACAAGGCTTTTGCCTCGCCGCGGCTGCAAAAGTTCCAAGTGAGGTTGAGGGGTTGCCTCGGAAAGTGATGGACTTTTTGCCCTACAGCATTCATTGACCCATGTTTTGAGTTTGCCGGGCAGAGTGCTTGTTCGATAGCCTCCCTCTGAGTTGCAACCCTTTGTGCTGGCTCTGCGTAACGCCGGTTATCAACGATGAGCTGGCTGTTGATTGTTTGCTTGATGCAAGTCCAAGTAGAGTTGCTGTAAGACGGTGTTGTTCATGTTCTCGCCGACGTATAGGAGCCAATGGAGGGTTGAAGAGGGGTATGTGGAGATGCCCAGACTTAAGGCATGCTTATTATTAGTTTTTGGCGACGTCCAAACTGCCATTTCCAGCAAATGCTTCTTTCACGGTGCCTGCTTCTGAACAATCCTTCGACATCCCAGGCTCTTCCAGGGCAACGGATTGTTTGCTGATTGGTCTTCAAGGAGCGGTGAGGGAGGCAATGGCTCTTGTCTCGCTCGTAAGCTAGGGAACCTGTGAAGCCATCAAAAGCCACAATGGGCAGATCTGAGGGACGAGACCGAATGCAAGCAAACATTTACCGCCGACCATCGAGAACCACTTGGCCGGATTCTCCAGGCCACCAAATTCTGGTCGCCCACAACTAAACCCGGTACAGCGGCAACTGGTGTGCTGGTGTGCATGGCGGCAAGAGAGGACAGCGAATCAACTCCACCAGTTGTGTATGGCCATCCGTGGTCTGTCGTGTTGCCGCCGCCACCTGATGTCAGTCGTTCCAGCAGGTCGGTAGGTCGTGGAATGAGAGACACCGCGAACGATTTGATGACACGATACTGGCTGGCTTCGGCAGGTCTCTGCATCCCCACGGTCGTCAGAACTCAGTTGATGATGTTTAAATTGTGTAGTGCGATGCGGCGGCGACAACGTGCTCCGTAATTAGGCAGAAGGGGGTCCAGCGGGTAGTTAGCACACAGGAACGTCGATCCGAGCTAAATCGTTCCGAAGCGCCACAAAAACCCGCGCAGCTCTCAGGGCGAGCGGGGGCGATCGGCCACCGTCGATGGCAAAGGTGAAGACATCTCTGGAGTTTGGTCCGACGGAGAAGCTGTCCTGCCACCTACCCGCTTGGGCAAGCACAGGTAGATGGGCTGTCTGCTCATCAAACGAGACGGCCGATAGAGAGGGGAAGCGGGCGCGGTGCAGCAGCAATATTAGAAATGTTCCCAGTCAATACATACACGAGCACCCGCCCGGAGGGGCGGACGAGATGTAGCCGCTGCAAGTCATTCGAGTTGTGCGTGACATGACGACACGGAACGAAGTTGTTGAGAGACTGTTTGTCTAGTGTCTGGTCAGAGACGGCCGCGAGTAGCCATCCCGCGGGCCCCGCTTCTGCAGAGAGATCCATTTCCAGTAAAGGCCGGAGGCGGAATTGAGGCCAGTCGCATCGACATCGTGGCAGTCGTGCGGGGCTGATGGAACCTGTCGACCGCTTGGGACGACACGGCCGGGCCAGTCCTACGGCGTAGGGTAAACTCTTCGTCTCCTCGAAGAAAAGGCGTCGACAGGATTGCTGAAGAATCTGTCGACCCGACTGGCCAGCTGCCGTTTCGGGGTTCCATCGTGTTGATCGCCAACCCCGACGGGCGGCGGGTCATATGCGGCTGTTATGCGGTTGGTCCAACAGCTGCTGCTCGTTGGCCAGAACGAATCCACGTTGCTGCCATGAACCATGATTCGGGGGGCTGGTAGCTAGCTGCACCTGACGAGAACACCTGTGTGTTTCTCCAGGAACGGCGTGGGCTTTGCAGATGTTTGCACCTCCTCTCTGTGGCTCGCATGCAGCGGCGGCGATGCGCTTGATTGGGCGCGAGCGCAGAATGGCATGTGGGCGGCAATTCTGTCCCTCAGGACGTGTCACCTCTCACCTGCCACCGCGAGAGTCGCAGCCGGTCGATATGCAGTTTGACGCCTCCCAGTATCGTTCCGTTCGTTCCCTGCCTGGTTTTGTGTGTCTGCAACGAATTGTGTGTCTTTTTGCAACATGGGCGAGCGGGGCCTCTGGCTTTGTTTGGTCCAAGGTAAGGAAGGTAATCAGGCAGCCCTCGTCTGCTTGTACCCCCATACAGTAGTAAGTCATTCACGACCGAATAAATGCGAAACCTGAGTCGACGAGAGGGATGATGGCCGGGTCTGGACTAAGCTCGAGGCGAGATCCAGAACACACCAGTCCAGGTCGGTGCTCTGGTGAGACAACCATCCTAAGCAGAAACCCGGCAGGGCGGTTGGAAGCAAAGGCCGTGTTCGGCTCGCGTGTCCAAGGCAAGTGAATCGGGAGGCGTGGCGCCAGGGTTCCGTCAATCGTCGACGGCCTATTCAGCCATCGCTCCAAGCGAGGTCCCAGCCAGCGGCGCAGGGCAGTTTTCGTAGAAGGCGTAGAAGGAGACGGTCCTTGGTAAATTGTGCGGAGCTCGACGCCGACGCCGGCCTGTGTGAATAGCAGCAGCAGCAGCAGCTGACAGCCGTCCACCGCTTTTGCTGTGGGTGTCACCGGTATGCAGCTTGCGGTGTTCCGGCGCTGCAATGCGGTGCGGTGGTGGTGACCTGCGGTGCAGCAGCGGGGGATGGCATGATTTTTTTTATTTATCTGTTTAATTGTTGCGGGCTGGGTGTACATGTGTATCGCACTGGCTTGGGCGTCTGGCTGTGCGGGTGACGATGGCGTCCTCTAGGGCCTGTCAATAGAGGTTGAAATGGCATTGATTGATAGTGTTCCTTCCCGGTGTCTGGTACGATGCGAGGCGCGATCAACTGCGAGCATGGCGTCGCGTGTGCGGCGCCTCAGCATGCCCAGATGTCTGAGTGCGTACTGCGGACATGTCGAGGCCCGCACGCTTGGGCGACGGGTTGACGTCGACGGCGACACTTGACACTTGGCTGATTGACGTTGACATCTTCCACTGACTCGGACGCTAGTGACACAAAGGTGAGTCGACATGTCTGTCGTACGGGTACCTCATCCAACGTGCGCATGGCAGGCAACAAAAGCAACAAGCATGGCGTAGAACTTTTGAAGTTTCCCATGGAAGAAGGGCACCCCTGTCTGTGGTCTGCGGTGTGCGATGACTTCCATTAGATAAATCACTAGGCAAAAGGCTCTGCCAGCGTCAACGAAGGCGTCGTTGGTGAGACTCCTACGCCCAGGTCTGCGGGCGGCACTGGTGTTGTCCAATGTCTGACCGCCTCCCCAGCCTCATGGGTTCTTCTCTCTGCTGGTGCGTTGGTCAATCTGTCTCCCGCAGCCCAGCCCGTGGAAGCGGCTGGTTGCGTCCTGGTTGATGGGAGACCCCTTTCCAACGAGCTGGTTCGGTTGTTGGAAAGGGCCCTGTCTGTTTGTGTGTTTGGCCTTGGGCCTGACCGGATCTCTGGAGAGGGAGGCCATTTCTTGTTGTGCCCTTTGACCGCACATCCGCACCGAGTCGGTATTGGTAACGCCAACGCCAATGCTTCGAGAACGAAGAAGCATAGTCGTGACCGCTCGGCTGGGAGAGAGAGCTGCGGCCGTAAGATGAGAGTGGAGATGGCCGTGTACGCGTGAGAGCCGCCTAAATCTCTTTCACTTCCATTGGTGAAGTAATAGACCTGTGCTGTAGTCAACTGCTGGAAACGACGTTCGACTTCCGCCTGGCACCGAGGTGTGGTGTGGTGTGATGCGGTCTGCCAGGCGAAAGAAAGCTCACGCCCTGGGCATAGCCCCCGGTCCCAGTAGAGGTTTCGATTTGCGCCATCTTCTCCGGTTGACCCTCTGGCCGATGCTGACTGGTTGACGGACGCTGGCACTGGCGAAAGCAATGGCGCTGGATGCTGCGCTGCCCTGTAGTGGTGATTTCGTAATCTTTGAGGGCCCTCCACTGCTGGATGGACGGCGCCGTCACAGTGGTACGGGTACATCATACTGCAGAGAGCAACCTCGGATTGTGCTTCCCTGCTATCCGTACCGCCCTGTGCTGGCCTGACGGGACCAGCAACACCCCCGCTGCTGTTTTATGTGGTGCTTGTGCTGGAGATGTGCTCGCTCGCCCGGGTGCTTGGGCTCTGAGGTGAGCATCGTTCGTCTCCGCGCGGTGCCTGGGCCTCGCTGTGCACAGTGAACGCGACAGGTCTCCATCCGAAAACTTCCCCCGAAATCCCAGTCCCCGTTCCTAAACTCTGAGGTGGACGCCCCCCGGGAGCCCAATCTCATCTATCTCGTCTACAGCACCAATCAGGAGCCTCATAGCAGGAGACTGGATCCAACGCATGAGAGAAAGAAGAGCACATCAGGTACGTACTGCATAACTAAGACAGCACCACAGGGAAAGATACGGATACCAGAGACACGGAAACACACGGGGCTCTTAACCAAGTTCTCCCAAGTGCGAGCGCCCTCGACTCACTCGGATCGACTCTCCTCTGCTCCTCCTCCTCTACTAGGGGGCGTGTCCCTGGGAAAAACACTTCCGCACGCAAAACACAGTAAGGCTGGGAAAGACTCGCAAAAAGAAGCAACGAAACTCTGCTGATGCGACGCCCTGTCCCCGGCCTGCTGGACTGACACGTGCGCACGATGAAGGAGCGGTAAGCCTTGCTTCCCAGCTTCCTACGCCGCAAATCCGAACCACCAGACATCAGCATCCAAGGCAAGATATGTCCATCCTCACAACCCGCTGATTACAAACGAACACCTTCTCCTACCATCCGGATTACCTCTCTGGGGTCGGGGATGAACTGCTGGGATCGCCTCGGTCGGTGCCCGGGAATAAGATCAGGAGGCTTTTAGGTGCGAGAGACATGGGACCAACCCAAATCCACAACGCCTCTAAGCAAGGGACGGTCCTGGGACCTGAGAGGGCCACTGCAGCACGGGGGCATTCCATTCCTATTCGTTTAGTCCTGCACTGTACGGATATCCCATCTTCTGTACAGCCTTCCAACAGGACAGTGAGAGGACGGAGGAGCCAACAGAAGGAGCTTCATCCTGTCCGAGGCTACATGCATCCCACCCCGGCACGCAGGTCTTGATACCGCGCAGTCGCAGCAGCGAACAGCCATCGTGAGGAATGCAGCGTCGGCCTCGCGGCGCTCCGATGAAGCCGTCGGCGATGCGGCCGAACGTCTATCGCGTGGTGTTTTAATTGTGAGAGTCCGACATGAAGCAGTCCTGCGCGCGCCAGGGGCTCTGCGCTCCCCGCGCCTGAAATGAGAGAGGAATCATCGTCGTGCCGTACCTGACCTGACCCGTCCGAGGCATCTAAGTGTCTCTTTCTGGGACGCTAGGCCGGCCGTCTCGTTCCACCGGCCTGGTATCAACGGGATATTGATTCATAGCGAGAGGGCCTCTCTCTCCCTTCCACGACAGACAGACGCCCCGCTGCCATTCCCGTGGACCGCGGCTCTCCCCTATGCTCGGGATCCAAGACATTGCCGGGCATGGACACGGTGCTGTCGTCTATCGTGGCCGATCCTACGTGTTGCGAAAAGCCTCGGCCGGGTTCAGGTTCAGGAGGCGGTGGGCCGTTTCTGTCTTGTGTGTTTTGTTGCTTGCTCATCTTCTTCTCAAAGAGATCTCCTCCTCGACGATCCAGATGCCTCTTTCATCGCAGCAGCGGGCCCCCCGTTGCTCTTTTTCATGTGCTGGGAGTCTGGGACTGGAGTCTGGGAAGCAGGAGGATGGATACGGGGCGCCGGGGAAGCAGTCTTCTGCATCTGGCTTTGGCTTCTCTTGCAGTAGTGAGATTTTTGCGCTCTGCCCAAGTGGACTCCGTACCCGGTGCGGGAAGTTAAAGAAGGGAAGGGAGGCCCGTCCGCTAAGCCATTTCGGGTCCGGCTTGCTATCTAGATACCCGTGGGTCGGGTGGGTGGTGCTTGGGACCGTGGGCAGCAGGATGAAGACGCAGTTTGCTTTCACGCTTCCACAGTGTTAGGAGGTGCAGATGCCAGGTGCCAGGTGCTGCGAGGGTGAAGTGAAGTGAGGTGAGGTGAGCACGGCCGGTTTTGCTGTCATTACCGTCCATGAGTACGGATAGTGAAGGTCACGGGAGAGACTCCTCAGCCCACTCGCCAAACATGTAATTACGTCGCTTGCTAATTCCCGCCAATTGCCAATCAGCCGTCAGACGTTGTATGCGTTCCGAAGTTCTGGTTCTTCAACACACTTCAACCCCTCCCCCCGTCGAGTCTGAATTTCCCCTTCCCCATCTACTAATAAGCGACCGAGAGTGAGACACTACAATGTCCGGCTCGTCGATTGATATATGCTGGGGGCGTACGATACCGTATGTGTCGCTTGGTTGGTCGGTCGGTCGGTCGGTCGGTCGGTCGGCCGCGCCCCCGCCAACACACGGGAATTGGAATCATGGGGGCGGGAAACTAGAAAGAATGGGATATCCTCGGTCGTGTTTTAATTAGGTCTCACGACGACAAGCCGGAGCTTGATCTCTAAAAGAAAGGTTTGCTTGTCGAATGCCGCGGTCCGTTGGTTGGTTTGGATGGTAGGGGACTTTTGGAAAAGCCATCATCTGTGTGTTAAAAGGGCCTTTCTCTAGCTCTGGCCTTGGGATCTTCACCGCACGTTACCACGGCACCTTAAGTTGAGGAGGCTGCGCTACGGCGCACTTGGCCAGCAGGCTACGGATACCAGAGTAGGCAAGTTAGCTCGAGGCAAGGTGCTATGTAGGCCCAGCTAGTCCACCGCCCTTCCTCTCCCTTGAGGTTATCCTGTGCCCAGCTCGTTAGCGTTCGGGAGACGGAAGGTGCATGGTGAGAGAGGCAGACACTTCCGCGCGCCGAGGGCGAAGGGGACGTCCTGTCACGTCGTCCCGGTATCGAAGGTCGATATCGCCGTCTCCTGGAATCCCTCTTTGGGTGTCTCCCTCCGAGCCTCGTCCATCATGTGGTGTCTGGAAGAGTCTGGGACCTGCTGCACGCCCAAGGAACGGCAGTCTTAGCTAAGACGTGTATCACGGATGTCAGGCCAGGAACGAACGCTCTTGTGTGTAGACAGCACGCAGTAGTCGACAGCAACCGCAGCGACTGAGGCGAGGCATGGCCCCGAAGGGCTTAGCGCCGGACATATTCCAGAGCAGCTCCGTGTGAATCCACCCGGTCGTGGTTGTGCCTCTGGACAGGGTTGGCAGGGTTCAGGGGTGTGGTTCAAGACCCTTCCAGACCCCCGCTTTCCAGGCCCGCAATCGCAGAAACCAGAAAAGCTCGGACATGCTTCCCAATTGGAAGGTACAGACCCCCCGCTTCGCTTCTTCGCTTCAGAGCGATGTGGTGGTCTTGTATGTGCGGATCAGAAGAGCAGTGGTGAGGTGAGTTGCGAGTGTACGAGTGAGGTGCATTGCTTGTAAGATAGGTAAGGTAGAGACAGAGAGATATGGACCGACCACATGAGCCAGTCAACCAGTCCCATTGTCTGTCGCCAGTCAGTGCAATATCGATCCCAGCAGTTACGTTACCAAGGACTAAACGAAGCAGGAGTGGGAGAGAGGAGAGGGAGGGGTGGGCGAGGGTGGACATCCCCTCCCTTTGCTCCACCACACCCCAGCCCCAGATGCAGCGCCTGTGCTGACGGTCGAATCTGGCTGGCTGGTTGGCCTGTCTAGATGTCGGGTGTCTGTCGCGGCGTCCTTCCACCCTTCCCTCGGGACAGGTACGTAGCTTTCCACACCAGCCTGGGTTCTGAAGTTGTGAGAGTATCCACTCAAGAACTGTGGGTCGCTCTTGTTCTGAAGAGTGGAGCCTTGTCTCCGGGATGGGGCCACGGCCATTCGAGGGGAGCCACTGTGACTGGGGGGAGCCACTGGAGCCACCGTGCTGTGATGGGTGACCAGTCGCCAGCAGTCACCCAGCGAGGTGGGTTTTTAGTGCTACCACTGCCAGTCCACGTTTGGTTTGGTACCGCTCTCCAGCCCTGGTGAGGTGTGTCGCCGGTTAGGTCTGGTCTTCCGCCCCCGTCTGTTGTTTTTCTGGTTCTGCTGCCCGCTGTTCGCTGCCCCTGCTGCTGGAACTGCATGGCCCTTGTCCGCTCCAGCAACCTGCACTTTTGCTGCTGGCCAAGGACGTGGAGCCCTCTGCCCATGTTCCCCTTCAACCCCTGTGCCTTCCCACCACCCTCTTGGGACGCTGCACTGGGACCACTACCTACCTTACGCTACCTACGCTACGCAGTGCATACGGTACGGCGCACCACTTACGCAGTAAAAAGGACGGATACGCTTGACTTGGGTTGGTACACCACCTGGTTGGCCTTGGCTTGCCTTCCCACTTTTTCCAGACTTCCTTTCAACCACCTCCTCCCCGTCCACGTCCCGTCCGTCCTCTTCTTCCTCATCCTCCCCCCTTCTTACACCACACCCTCTTCCCGGCCGACTCATCCCGAACAACTAAAAAAGTAGTCGTTCGCGATTTCGACCTCCTCTTCTTCCTCACCGCCAGGCAATGGGAAGGAGATAGAACAACTATCGTGGAGGACTCACTCTTTCTCGCCCGTCACCATCGCCGCACCCGCCGCAATTCGACCTCGCCCGCTACGCCGTGCTGTCTCGCCTCGCAACAACCGACGATCGACATCCAGCTCTCGCCTCCAGTCCGCTGATCAATCCCGACAGCGCGAACCACCACCCTCAAACCACACACCTTTTGCACTTTTTCGCCTCTCGACCGCCACCACCAACGCTTCTTAAAGACGTTGCCGCGAGACACAATTGCTCCTCCGTCAACCCCATCGCCAAAACACCAATCCCAGCCCTGCTCGATTGTGGTTTTAGTGCACTGCAGATCTTCAACTCACCCCGGGAAATCCACATTTGACCCGGGATCCCACGTTTTGCAAACCAACGCTTCGTCACTACAACAACAGTAACAACAGCAACAGCAATCATGAGTTCGCCAGCGCAGGCCGGGCCTTCGGTCCCGAAGGAAAAGAAGGGCCTGGGAAAGATGCTCGCTAGAGCCAAGACCGTCTTCAAGGGATCCTCCTCCAAGCGCCAGTCGACCATCTCCACCTCCGGACAGCCTGCCGGACAGTCCAGCACTGCGTAAGCGCCAATTTCTTTCTATCAACCAACTCTTGCGATATCGCAATGGCCTGTATGACGAGTCTAACATGATCACAGTCCCGCCCCCGCCGCCGCCCCTGCTGCCGCCCCAAAGGAGACCGCCAAGGAGCCGACCAAGAGCAAGTACGAGGACCTCGAGGGCGTCGTCAAGGTGCCCAGAGCCGAGCTGTTTGAGGAGCGCGCCAGAAAGTTGGGCGAGAGATTCGGCCTCGAGATCAAGCAGAGCGAGTGGATCTCCACCGAGGGCACCGCTCTCCGCGTCGAGAAGCCCATCCGCATGCGTGTTCACCGAACGTGCCACAAGTGCAACGCTACCTTTGCCGCCGCCAAAGAGTGCCCTACCTGCCAGCACGTCCGTTGCACCAAGTGCGTCCGCTACCCGCCCAAGCGGACCGAGGCCGAGCGCATCGCGAGCCGGGAGAAGCGCGCCGCCATCCTCAAGGCCCAGAAGGAGAACGCTCCCATCATCCCCGACTACTCGTACGATCCGAAGGACGCCAAGGACATCGTCCTCAAGCGCCCCAGCAAGACTGGAGGACAGGATCTCATTTACAAGAAACCCAGACAGAGGGTCCGCAGAACCTGCCACGAGTGCCAGACACTCTTTACCGCCGGCAGCAAGACATGCTCCAAGTGCAGCCACAACCGCTGCACCGACTGTCCCAGAGACCCGTACGTTGAACACCCGTGACATGTCGACGCTGACTGCTAACCGTATCAACAGTCCCAAGAAGGACAAGTATCCGTTCGGATACCCTGGCGACGAGTTTGGGCCGAATGCTGTGCCGCATCACGAGTGCTACAAGTGCAAGACGATATACCCCGGCGGGGCGAAGGACGGCACCGAGTGCAAGAAGTGTGGACACAAGAAAGACGCCAACTGTCCTCGCCTGAAGCCTCGCAAGGTCGAGCCAGAACCAGACCCGGAAATCCTCAAGAGCATACAAGCCAAGATCGAGGCTCTAAAACTCAAGTAATACGACACTCCACTGTTGTTTACATCGTCCGACTTTTATGAATTCGACTTGAAGGCGTCCGGGCATTGCGGGGTGAATGATGTCGAAGTTGTTCTGGTGCGGGGGGCGGGAGCGAGTACGCGACATTTCCTATTCATCTTCAAAATCCCTGGGGCGCACGTTTTCATCCGATTCTTTCCGTCGAACCAGCATTCATCGTTCCTTTCATATTGCAACACTACGAAACCACACGACCATCCATCATCTGCATCATCACAAACCTTCTCATTCCGCCACAACGGTCTCTCTGCATCGGCCAACGACACCAGAGGGATAACGAAGAACATGAAGCCTTGAAGCACATCACACACTACGCGACCACGAACCCAGCATTGCCTCGACCACACAAAAGGCACCGTTTTCTGCCGACTAATGACAACCTCCAACTTGCTGCATACACCTTGCCCACCACACTGAAAAGAAACAGAAAAAGAAAGGATAGGAGACGTACCCTGACGCACCTGAACTGGGAGGAGGGGGTGGATCAGGCCATAATCGCGGAAGAAGGGACGAACCGGAGACACACAGCGGTTGAAGCGAAGAGAGACACGGGGAGAAAAGCAAAAAGGGAGTTGATAGGCGCTGTATCGAAGAGAGGAGTTGCATTTGCAGCGAGAAAGAAAAGAGCGGTAATGGGCAGACAAACAGAACCGACAACGCGGGTCCAAAATCAAGGGTGGCAGACTAGCCGTGCGGAAAGCGGATTATTCTTCTCTTTCTCATCACATTCTTCCCATCTCTCACGAATCACCCATTACAAATCATTTGTATCCAACGGATTAGGATTTTGCAAATCAGAATCGCCTTGGATAAGCTGTCTTCTCAGTGCCATGATGCTTTCGTCAGACGGTGTCCGTGATGTGCCATCGGCCGTTGTTCTAACCACACTAGCAGACCGTTATCATCTGACTTTACGACGAGTCGTCAACCAGCGATGTCACGTCGACTCGTGTAACCGTGTAACGTAGCCTGTCAGGTCATACTTCCAGAAACCGAATAAGAGGGCGAAAAAGCAAAGTTCATGCGCGCAACGCACACACAAGAGTCTGACCGAGGTCTCCGGCAACTAAGGAGGGGGGGGGGGCTAATTAGAGGGCAACCGCAATCCCGGGAAATCTGCCCATGACAGCACGCACGCACGCACGCACGTACAGAGTGAGAGGTGAGAAAGAGCCACGAGCCCGGGCGACGGGTTTAAGCAGAGGATTAATTTTGGCCGTGTGAATTAAGGGGTGTGTGTATGTGTGGTGCGTTCGTATCGCAAGGTATGTGTGTGTGTGTGTGTGTGTGAGTGTGTGGCGCGGGTCACCTACCTAGTAGCGTCAAGGGGCGTGCGTGCGTAATGCCCATGACAATCAAACGAAGAAAAAAAAATTGGCGGTGAGTTGGAACACTTTGCCACGGGTTTGCAGGATGAGATCTCGTTGGGGGGAAACGAGATCTGCGCGGTCCATTTTCCTGGGTTCTCGCGGCTGTTGGTGCTGACGGAGACGGAGCCCCTGGTCGTATGTGTGTTTGCTCTGTTGGTTGGTGAATTGGTTTCCTAATCTGACGGGCGGCGGGAACGGGGAGGACGCCACGGACAAAACCGCCCGTGTGTGTGTGTGTGTGTGTGTGTGTGTGTGTGTGTGTGTGTACAGTAGGTGTGTGTGGTCGGCCTTCTTGGCCTTCTAGAAAAACGGGGGGCTGAGGGTATTGGATGGTGTGGTGTGTTGATGGATGGTGGCCAAGACTTTTTGTCTTTTTTTCCCCTTTTTTTCCTTTCCAACGCGCCATCAGGTACCGACGAATGAAAAGCGCAGAATGGCCTATGTTCTTCGTTCGAGTAGCGTGCTGACGGAGAGGTCCCGGGAGTCTGGTTTGGATGATTGTTGGACTTTGCTCTGCCATTGGATCATGCGAGATGACTTGGTGTGTGTGAGAAAGAGAGACAGGTGAGGCTGTGGCGCGGCGGGACTTGAAGCGGTGATTGGTGAGTCGTGCATTTCTTTTTGGGGACAAAATCTACGGGGGCCCTATATCGAGCCTGCAGGTGAATTCCACAACTGGAAGGAGCTGGTTTGATGTCCTCGTACGCGTGTGGTTGTGATGTCGATAGCAATGTCTCGGTAGATGGCTTCGCGATGGAATTGGTCAAAGCAACATGCCATCATGACTTCTAAAACAGATTGCTATGGATGTGATATGTGCTCCCGTCGGCTTCCCCGAGAGCTATGCTGTGTGGTCTTTCTAGTCTACAAAACTTCCTCCATCAACGCCCCTCCTCCAACGATTGGTCCTGGATCTATTCTACAGGAAATGCTCTTCAGCCCTCTTCAACGGCCTGCCTTCCAATCAACGTTTATACCATGGCCAAGAATATGTTCTAGTAATGTTCTCGGTGGTCACACGGCGCCCATGGTCTGTCTCAGACACAAGTTTTGGCGACAGTCTCAAGTGTAATGATATCCGTGATGGCGAGGCACCACCACTGGTCTCCCGGGACGGAGAGAAAAGGCTCTCTAGGCCTCTGTCTCCTCTCGTACCTCGTTGCCAAAGCGGATGGCACTGCCGGGCGGCAATGCGGGACCAATCGTCTCGGCGCGCGTGCTCTTACGCCCAATGTAACCAGTCTTGAACCCATCGATGCGCTGGTTGAGCCGTTGCTGCGCATCCCTGACGATGCCTTGCTGCACCTCAGCGCCGACCTTTTGCTGGCCGTCGAGCAGAGGAAGAAGCTTGTGGGTCGGATAGAAGCGGCCCTTGAGCTCGCCCTCGCGGAGGACGGCGTTGTGCCGGAGAAGCACGCACCGCCAGCGCTCCGCCGGGGCAAACTTATTTCGGAAGGCGCTCTCTTCGCGCAAGGGGCGCGGTAGCTTGTCCTCAGTCACGGGCATACCGCCCACAGGCTTGTTATCGCCTGTGATGGGCTGATAGATGTCACCCTTGAAGAACACCGCGCCAGGCATATCTACCGCGGTGCAAATCTCTCGAAGGCCAAGCAGAGCGTCTGAAAGGTTGGTTGCCGCCTCCGGAACCCCCGGCTGGTCGGTAGTGATACGAATACGGAGCACGTCGCCCAGCTCGACGCGTTCCGCACCAAGGAAAACGCCCTGGTAGTCTGTTTTCTTGCCGTCTTCGGTCGTCGAAAGGCGGGTGAACAAGGAGTAGGACGAGCCAATCTTTTGAGCGGCCATCTTGGACGAATCTAACAAGATCACCTCGCGGCGGTGAGTGTCCTCGGGGTTCAGACTGCCAAGGAATTGCTGCCACGGCACGTCGTCGTATGCCTTGCCCTGTAGCTCAGGAATGCCCACACTTGGTACGGAGAAGGCAAGGAAAGGTCGGGCTGACGCCTCGATAAGCTGCACTGGAAGCTGACCGAAGAGATAATGGGATATAGGGAGGATCTGGAGCGCCTCGGGTTTGCTGTTCTTGGGGTTGACGATGCCCGTAGCTGCCACGACGCCGAGGCGCCAGCCGTTGGACATCTGGTGCCAAACCATTTCTCCGACGCGGAACAAGGCGCCCGGGTTGTGCGGCTGCTGAGGGTAGGGAGGGAACTGCGTCTGCTGCTGGTAGGGTGCTTGGGCTATAGGCTGCTGGGGTTGTTGTGCCGGCGTCTGGACTCGAGGTTGAAGGGCTTGGGCCGGGGGTTGCGCCGGTGGCTGCGGCGGTGGCTGTGCCTGCGCCTGTGCCGGGACCTGTACTGGGACCTGTGGCGGCTGTACCGGTGTCTGGACAGGGGCTGGAGCCGGAGCCGGGACGGGCACGGCACGAGGCGGTATCGACGGCACCGGCACGGGGGTCTCCTTCTTCAGCGCGGGCATCGGAACCGGTACGGGCGTCTCCTTCTTCAGGCTTGGTGGGGTTGCCGCTGCTGGCGCTGGTGAAGCAGTGCGACTGAGCGGCATCTGCGGCGTAATCTTGCGCATCTTGGACGGGGGCTGCGCATTCGTCGGCCCGGATACCGGACGTGGGATCTCCGTCACGGTCAGCTCTTCGAGGGCGGGCATCTCTCGGACGTTGCAGTGAATACAACGGCAGTCCATCCGATCCGTAGAGTTAGAGAGAAGCCACAGCAGGTGAAGGCCGAACTCTTGAGGGCTTTTGAAGAGCTTGGATTTGACGGGATAGCCTGATACCCAAAGGTGCTTAGACTTTTCGTATAACCAGTATCCCCGCGGAAAGTTGAGGAGCCATGACGGGCCTTCTGTGAGAGGGTTAGACGCATGAGTGACATCGAGTGGCTCTGAACTGACCTGTTGGGTTCAGCTCCTGCTTCAGCAAGATTCCCAGCTTGATGCGCCACTCCTGGAACCTCGGGTCGTCTTCGGCTAGCCGAATCATGTGAGGCTTCGCCCGTGGTACCTTGTCCAAAGGCGCCTTCTTCTTCGCTGCATCGGCCGGGACTGGCCAATAACCGGGACCGCTGTCCTGGCCATCGCTCCGGCAGATGTTTACCACCGCGAACTCGTCGGAAGACGTGGGTCCCGTCATGGTGAGGCGTGAGACAGGTGAAGGTGCTGGATGCTGTTTAGGCTGAGCGGCCGCCTCGGGTAGCGGCGACCCAGGAGACGCGTCGAAAATTCTCCTATAACGAGGAGGCAAAAGACAAAGTGCTCAGACTCCAGAAGAAGAAAATAAGGTCAAATCAAATGCGCGTCTCTCATGCGCTAGCACATTCTGCACCAGAGGTGCTGTGTGTGTGATGCGCCTCAGTCGCAAGCTGGAAGTGAGTGGATCTGGCCGCGTGGTGGGTTTACTCCAGTCGGGCACGCCAATCGCTGCCGTCGTCCTGCCGCAGCGCTCTAAATGGGCAGTGCGGTTCGTCGCGTCGTGAGAAGTCGCTCGCAGTGAATAATTATGAGTTAGGTGATCAAACAACCTGCTCTGTTGGGTTTGTTTGCCGTCGCAGTGAAGGCTCGGGTGAGGTTGAAAGAGGTTGAATGTTGATGGAGCTTAACAATGGACGTGCACGGCGCTAATCGTCTTAGTCAGCAGCGCCGATGCCAATTAGGCGTCCCTTTTGGCTGGACGACAACGAAACACCAACAGTTGTTCAATGTCCAATTCTGACTCAACTTGGGTTCTGACCGAGGTAGGTAGGCTCTACAGCCATGGCACAGGATCACAGCAATGGAATGAGATCAGAAATGCGTCGTATTCAATATCAAGTGAACGACCTCTTCACCACACCCTCATCCCTTTACTGTACCCATCTTCCTAGGCTGTACTTCGAGGCGACAATGAAGATTGCGACGATGAGTGGTAAGACTGGCCCATTTTCAACAAGTCCCCCATTACACATTCATACCGAAGCTGTATAGCAGCTAATCATCGTCGTGATGGAGCGATCGGTGACATCATTGAATCCCTCGTCTCGCGTTTCATTTTATCACTTCAATCTCAGCTATGTATTGCACACAAAGCCTTAACGTACAAATCGAATTGAGCCTCGGCTCGGTGGTATCATTTTGGTCATGAATCATAACTACTGTTTTGGATACAAATACACATTGCTAGGCTTACTCGGCTCAGGCACCAACGGAAACTCGTCTTCGCCCGGCTTGCTTGAGCCATCCGCATTCAACTCTCTCAGCTGAATCCCAGCCCCGTCGCGCGTGGGCGTGTAGACATCCAGATCGTTCCCAACATACGTGTCGAGAGACAGCCGTGGCGGGCGTGTGCCGCTCCTCTGGGAGTACGCCATCGACCGTCGGGCTTTCCTCGGAGACGCCTGCCTGCTCAGCCTGCGCAGCTTTTTCGGGACGAGCTTATTGACTAAGTAATCGCGAAATGTTTTGGTGGTCCCGAAGACGACAAATGTGAGGAGACTCGCAGAGACGCCGGGCAGGAAAAGTATGAGGTCCAGATGGAGGCGCTCCGTGCTGAGGTCCGGGCTGTCGCTTAGCGAGTCACGGTTGTTTTGGCGGGCAGATGATACTTGGAACATGATCGTGACCACCTGGAAAATGCTAAAAGGACTAGTCAGTCGTCGGGGAACTAGGCGTTGGATCAGGAGTTTATTCTCACGCTAATGCCACAAAGGCGATGCTGAATCGAACGACGAGCCATCTGTCGTATATACTCTGGCGGCGTTTCCCGTTACTAGTGTCGACCACTAGAGTGTCGCTACTCTTGGTGCTGGCCGAACGTTGGCCATAGCGGACGTTCCATGATAATAGGTTGCGGCGCGTGTGGATGTACTTAACCAAGATGACGATGAGAAGAACACCACTCCCGCTGAGACAAAAGCCCACTAGAAATGTTGTCAGATAACGCTATCCGATGGCTGCAAATGTTACTTACTGACTCCATCCGCCAGAAAGAGAAAAGGCACTGCTTGCTTCTGGACCGCCTCAAGTCGGAGAATGCCCATTAGCAAGGCGGGCAGCACAACCGCGGTGCCTTTGGCAATGTAGTTGGCTCGCTTCCGGGTAGACTTGACCGGCTCCAGTTGGAAGATGGATTGCGTGAGCGCGATGGACCAGAAGAAGGTCAAGGCCGCCTCGACATTGTAGCTGTAAAACTCTGAAGAGTGTCAGGCGTGCGTATTTCGTGCTCTAGCGACGACTTACGAATGTAGAAGAGTACGAGGTCAAGACCGGTCGACTGTCCGGCGATGGCGAGTTCAGGGTTGCCAACGTTGGCGATAGAGTGTCGAAACTGCGCATTCTTGATATCCCTCCAGTACACAATCGTGTGGAGCTGCTGAGCCACGGAGGCAGCCGTAGAGAGACCCGTGAAATACGATACAAGTGCGACATCTGTATTGATGATGGTCAGTTGCCTGCTGGCCAAGACGGAGGAATGACCTACAGCTGATAGCCTCACGATGGACATAGGTCAGCCATCCCATTGTACAGCTGCATGCGAGGCAGAACAAGGAGTAGACAAGCACTCCTATAGCTGTGCCCAGCTCCTCTTGGGGCAGCTGGATGGCCATATCACCCCCTTGGAAGCTGGCCAAACAGGCCAGACATGAATATGGAGTCGTAGACCGCGGCAGGGAACAAGGTGACGGGGGAGGAGAAGAAAGAAGAAATTAAGAACTGGGGAGCAAGCAACGGCAAGGCCATGTTTATCATGCAGCCTTAGATCGCAGCGATCGCCCCCCCTGCGATCTGCGCATGGATAGACTCCCCCGGGCGCGACTTTCAAGAATCTGCTACCAAGATTTCAGGAACATGGAAGGGTGATCACCCATGTCCGGCGTTCGCAACTGCATAAAGTGCGATCAGGACACACACGCACACACACAAGCGGGCTGAATGATGAGATGGATACTCCGGAGCAGGACAAGGGGGGTTTGGGCCGTATTACGAGCCCTCCTTCACGAAGCCCGCGCCCCCAAAGCTTGCCCTCGATGGTCCAAAGATGTCTTGGCTGGGGATCCTTCAAAGAAGCCGGCGGGGCGCGCGCTCGGTATGGCAATGAAGAGTTTTACCATGATGCCGGTGGGTAATGAGAGTTGAAACACGATAGTGTGAGAAGACGATCATCGCAGCAATATTGCACCAAGGGCAAATAGCTTCGGAGGCTGGCATCGAATGTGTCATGGCGAGACAAAATGAAATTGACGTATTCTAGCCGGTTCCAAGTGCGATTCTGGCGGGCATCTGCCGACCGCAGAGTCTCACACGCCGACGCGAGATGAAAACGTTGGACGCCACAATCCGTCTAATATGAAGCCGTCGACTAGCTGCGTGGGTTGGGCCGAGGAGGAGCAGCAATGCGCAAGCGTCGTCGCAACTGTCATTAGAGAGAAGACCGGATAGGCTGATGACAGTGGAACTAGGCCACGGCGAGTATAGGCGGCATGGCAACGTACGAGTTCGACCGAACTATCCGCAGCAAGGTTACGACCAACCAGACCCCTCAGTTGGGTTTGAGGCATCGATGGCTCGAAACATGTATGGCGAGTGGAGGTTGGCTTTGCAGGCGCAGATTCGCTGATGACTGTAGACATGTGGGTGCGTGGACACCGCGGAGGGCTTCCCGGACCAGCCTCAACCCGGCAGAGCTGACCGGACCGATGGGGCGGCGGGTTGCAGACGGGATCCTCCCCATCACGGATGGCAATGGCAAATCAAGCTTCTATGGTTGTCAAGTGTTGGTCGTCGAGTCAGCAGCGACGGTGGCATCCTGTCTGTCAAGCGAGAAAATAGGTTGCGGCTGAAGGGAGAGTTTCCCAGTCCTCTGATCCATTATCACGTCAATCATATCACCCAAGCTGATTTCCAAAGGGACCACGCCGTGTACCGACTGCTTGGTGCTTGGAGCTTGCCCCAAAGACAGGGACAGCCCGGGAGGAAGATGAGGCTAGCGGTTTTGTGTTGAAGCTGGCCTCCTGAGTCAGAAAACAAGTGCCAGTGTCACAGTAAACGATGCCCGAAGGAGCCCGAGCAACTGCAATGGCTTCGGGACCTGGGCCCCAATCTGGCAAGCTGGTAATCGCTAGCGCAGACTAACGAGCAGGTTTGGGTCGGCGGTGGCGCAGATTGTTGAGATGAAGGTCGGCGGCACATGCGGTGGTGACATTGACAGTCTGCCAGATGGAAGGTTGCTGAAGGCTGAGGCTTCCATTGATGAATCGAAGCCGCCGGCACGGCAGCTGGAAGCTGAGCAACGGTCGGACCACCACGTGCTGATTGAGTTGGAGGCGGCGATCGATTCGCGTTGTCGTCCATGAGCGCCGTTCTGTGTCTGCCTTGGCTACGGCAGTAGTAATAGTGCTAGCCAACTTCTTGTTCCTTGGCTCTGGGACCCCCAATAACCGCCAGGCCGGCGTCTTTCGGCCAGCTTGAACCGGAGGGTATGATCGCCAGTCACAGCAAAGTGCCGTGTCGTCGGCATGTGGCACTTGCGACTCCCAAGCAGCAAGGTTTCTGCTGTTGAATTCAGCCGATCACGAAGGTTCAGGGGTGGAAGCCTGAAGGATCTAGACCTCCACTCTGGAGGAGATCCCGACCCATTGCTGCGGAGAGCCCCTGCCCGCACCAGCCAAAGAAGAAATCTCCGGCGATGCTGCCTTCCAGGTTCAGGCTCAGAGCCCGCTGATCCAGGTGCAGCCACCGTGTGGCTCGGTACCCCACGCCGCCTTCCTCAGCGACCGGTGCACCGCCCGTGTTGGTCGATTGGTGGGGCCGTTGAGCTCCAGCCAGAGCTTCTTTTCAATTAATTTCTGCCCGTAGGAAACGCGTGTGAGTCGCGTCTTGGAAAATTCCCCTCCCCCACGACATCACTCCCGCACGTGCGATAGCTTCCTCAGCAACTTTACCGCATTAGTCTTTCATCTGATTCACGTCTCGCATACGATTGCATCTTTTTACGATACCAGGGCCCGCGCGCGGCAGTCCAGCTCCTCACTCCGCCAACATGCCCATCGTCCCAGAACACTACAATCACGGCAACCAAGCCTTTCTCCAAGCGTTTCTCGCCCGCGGCACCCTTACCTTTGAAGAGGCCCAGTCCATTCTGGCAGCCATCTTCACAATCGAGGCCCAAGATGGCGAGGAAGTCACGCCCGACCAGGTCACTAGAGACGACTTTGACTCGTACGTGAGCGCGGCCGCCGAAGCCGTGTCCTTCTTCGACTACGAAATCCGCAGCACCGTTCACCAGGTGTCTAAGAAGCGCATATACGCCCTCGTCAACACCGCCTCCGACCCGATGACACAGCTGGCGACGACCTACAATGCCGAGCAAATAGCTTTCATTAAGAGACTGCTGGACGCCCTGTTCGAGACCTACAACTCGCAACGTATGGAGGTCATGGCCATCACCGACATGCAAGCAATCAAGCTCGCCCGGCCCCCGCGGCAGAACAACAACGACGTAAACGGCGAGGCGGCGACGCAGTCTGCTGCAGACAAGGGACTGAAGCACAGCGAGGTGGAGGACATGCTCGCGAATCTGGTGAACCAGGGCTGGCTGGAGAAGTCCAGAGACGGGTTCTACACTCTCAGCCCGCGGGCGCTGCTCGAGCTTAGGGGAATGCTCGTCGACTCATACAACGACCCAGACGCGGCGGCGGAGGAGTGGCAGCGCATCAAGTTCTGCGAGGCGTGTAAGGAGGTCGTCACCATTGGGCAGAGATGCACGAATGTCGACTGCAACGCGCGGCTGCACGATACCTGCGAGGGGGCATACTGGCGCACACAGCGCAGCCAAAAATGTCCACGATGCTCAAAAGACTGGGACGGCGGACTGTTCGTCGGCGAGAAGGCCGTGACTAGCACAGAGGCCTACCAGAGGGGCCGCCGGAGAAGTGGTCCCAGTGGGCGCAAGAGCACTGCGGCAGACGAGTCCATGCAGGAAAACGGGGCAGGCGGAGAGAGCGAGGAGGACTCGGAGTGAAGACGACATTTTGAATGCAACGAGCAGTTTCTACGATAGATACCCCGTATTGGTGGCTTAGTACTGCCAACTATTGCCCTGCCATAGCTCCAAGACAGCTGTCAATCAATGCATTGGACGAGCCACGCGCTGCATGAGTTTGCGCTGGCAATTTTTACAAGGACAGACGGTTCTCGGCAGGGTGAGGCGACATGCACCGGTGAGGGGCCTCCGATGGAAGTGTGGCGGTGCAAGACCCTTAGTGGAGTCCACGGCCCAACAGCCGGGCTCGCTTACATGCGGTTGTTTGACGTTGCGCTGGAGGGCTCCAATGGATGGGCATGAATGATCATCAGATGGCATTGTGGTGACATCACTTGTGGCGGTGCAAGCTACCCCAACGGCTACCACCCAACCAAGGTCTTCCGGTGGCTAAACACACTTGAGCTCTCACAAGGCATGATACACGCCTGAGAACCAGAACCAGGGCCCAGACAACTTATAGCACCACATGTGATTCAGAACAAAAAAGGACGCTTGGCCATCGAATAAAACCACCGGTCCGACCGCCAACTTTCGACGACTCGCCCTCGACGAGCGCCATCCTTTCAAACCCTCAACTTTGCCCGTCTACAACTCACACCAGCACACACTCGCCCACGATGCTGGAATACTTTGGCTACAAGCAGTACAAAAAGTACAAGACGGAGAAAGACGCAAAGGAGGCCGCCGGAGAGCACGATAGCAGCAGCAACCTCGGAACCCCGCAGCAGCAACACCCAGCATCACGACCGTCGCCGTCGCGGCGCCAGACCAGCTCCCGCTCGCTGTCGCCCGCAGGCAGCGCCGCCACCGACCGCACCCATGGCGGCCCAGCACCGGTGCTAGACCGCAGAGACGAGGCCTTTTTCAGACGCATCCTGTCCGACCCGGACGCTGACTCTGACGATGAGAGCCTCCGCCCGCCCTTGCCTCCGCGCACCAAGACGCCAGAGTACATGTGGGAGTCGGACGAATCGCGGCGGACCGCTCCGAGTCAGCAGGCGGCAGCCCCCAAGAAGGCGGCCACGGTAGCGGTCGACCCCAAGGCTGAGGGCAAGAAGCCCAGCAAAATCGCCTTCCTGTTTTCCAAGGTTAAGGGCGACGACAAGGACAAGCAGCTCGCACCAGTGAAGCCCACAGCCGTGCCAGCCGAGGAGGAAGCGAGGGAGAAAGACGACCTGTCGCGCGTGCTCGACGACCTCAACCTCTCCGCGAAGAACAACAAGGCCATCCCGCTGTCGGCAGAGTCCTCGGAGCTGGTCCGGCAGTTCACCCTCGCTCTCAAGGACCTGGTAAATGGCGTGCCGACCGCCGTCGACGACATCAAGAGGCTCGTGGAGGACAAGGACGGCACAATCAAGAAGTCGTTCGACAAGCTTCCCAACGGGATGAAGAAGCTCGTCACGAACCTCCCCGACAAGTTTACCGCCAGTCTGGGTCCGGAGGTCCTGGCGGCCGCGGCGAAGAGTCAGGGCATGCAGGCTGCCGAGGTCACCGCGGAGGAGGGCGTCAAGGGCGCCGCGAAGAAGATGTTCACGCCGGCCACTCTCTCGGACTTGGTCACCAAGCCGGGTGCCGTGGTGGGCATGCTCAAGGCCATCGTCAACGCGCTGAAGCTGAGATGGCCAGCCTTCATCGGCACCAACGCGATCATCTCGGTCGCGCTATTCCGTAAGTGCATCAGTCTGATTCATTAACGGCCCAGATACTAATACGCCGCAGTCCTTCTCTTCGTCCTGTGGTACTGCCACAAGCGCGGCCGCGAGGAGCGCATCAAGCGCGAGAATGCGCCCGAGATTATCGACGGCAGCGGCCGCATCGAGGAGCTGCCCGATGACCCAGCCCTGCCGGGTCCCTCCCGCTCCCGCACGGAACCTCTTAGGTCTGACAGGCCGCGGAGCGAGAGGAGCGAACGCAGCAGACGCAGCGGCAGGGACTCGGGAAGAACGACGCCCGAGTCTGTACGGAGGAGGGCGACGCGGAAGTGATTCCGCCAACGAATGAATGATGACTAGAATTTCTGTTTTCACGAGCGCAACGTTTGGTTTGCAGAGGGCATGAACGCACGTATGATGAGCTAGCAAGCTGAGATATCACGAGGGCTATGAACGACTGTGGAATGAATTCATTTTTCGTATTGGGGCCCCTCGGGCTTTAGGAAAATAGAGGCTATTATGTAGAAAGGACCGTCCCAAGCCTCACGCCCATTTTATAGTATAATGTACAATTGTGGATTACAACGCAAGAAGCAAAGTCGGGTATCTCGTAAGCAAGCGAGAGTCTCATCGCTGAGACTTCTTCCATCGCACAGATGATGCCTAATCATCCTGCACCAATTCCTTGATCTCGTCGCGACCCGTGGGAGCGATACCCGTCTGGCCGGCCTTCTCGCCCTGGCCGAAGCGGTCAATGATCTTGCAGCCGTCTTGGACCCAGAAGTCGACCTCGTCGATGATGTCGTAGACGATGTCCTCCACGATCTGTTCCGTGTAACGCTCCGACACCGGGCGGATCTCGTCTAGGGCCGGATAGTCGAACTTCTTGGCCTCATCCTGCCCGCCGTCAACCATGTCCACGTCGTCGGCCGGACCCGCGATGCCCGGGGGAGGGTACCAAAAGTCGGGGCCAAAGTTGACCTCGGCGGCACCGCCCCTGAAAACGCTGACGGCGGGGTAGTAACCAAGCATCCCGTTGTCCAGGCCATCGCGCGCGCCAATATTAGACTGCGGCTTCGATGCTGGCGGGAGGAACGCAAGGAGGTCGCGGAAGGCCGTGCCCATGTCGATACCGTTCTTGTACACCTTGATGTGCGAGTGTGGCAGCGTTCGGAGGGCGGGAACGGGGTGGTTGGGATGAGGCGCCTCGACCGAGTTGGCGGGTCCGGAAGATACAGGCGAGGGATTCATGAGGTCTTCGAGCTCCTTGGTGGTGTGGTAGTCGATCTTCTCAAAGTAGATGTGCGACTTGAAGCGGATCGGGATGCGGTCGCGGACAATGTTCGGAGCCTCGAAGGCCAAGTTATCGTCGTCGATGCCCGTGTCCACGGCCGGGTTGTATTGGCCGGCCAGCACCTTTCTCTGCAGTCGTTCTGAGGGCAGCTGGATCTCCAGGCCGATGATGTCTCCTTCTCGGATACCCTCTCCCTCGGGAAAGAAAGCCTTTGGTCGCGACATGTACACCTTCTCGCCGCCGACATCTCTGAAACCGTAGCTGTAGGCATCGAATCCGACGGGTGCGTCCACTGACGCTTCTCGTCTCGCGAATCCCATGCGCACGTGGCCATGCGACTCGGGCTTGTCCTCCCCGTCCTTCTTGTCAACCATGCCCCTCGTGATCTTGATCTCCCAGTAGAAGCGACCCTCTCGGATCGCCACATTCGCGCGCGTCATGCGGAAGCCCTTCTCGGTCGTTATATGGCGACCAGACTGGTCAAAGAAGAGGTGTGTCGCGCTATCCTCGAACGCCAGATGGGGACCGAAGGGCTCCGCTTCCGTGCCGCGGTAGTAGAGCGACGAGGGGAACTCAGGGTCCGCAATGCAGTGGGTGTAGTGATAGCTTTTCTTGTTATGTACACTATCGAGTCGTTAGTCGTGCCCGGCGCAGCAGGGCGAGGGGGAGGCCTACTGCTCGGAAGTCTCGTAGAACTGGACCTGGCCTCCATCGAGGGCAGGAACGTCGTGGTGGTGGATGAAGATTGGGGGTTTCGCAGGCTCGAAATCGGAGGGCTTGGGCGGCGCCAGCTTGTAGCGCATGGGACTGTAATCACTCTGCTTCGGCTCCTTATGCTTCGGGTCAGGAGTGCCACGGTTGCTGTCGCTGACGCCCTTGGACTCGCGCTTCTTCAGCGTTTCCTTCTTGCTACGCTTCGCCGGCATCTCGTCGGCGCCTGGTGGTTTCGGTGTAGATCTGACGTCTGGGTTGAGCGGAGAGGGAACTGAGGGTGTAAAGTCTTCTTCAAGAGCAGGTCGCTTCAACGGAACGGCGGTCGAAGAGGGCAGGGAGCCGCCTGGAGTCGGCTCCCTTGGAGGAGGAGGGGTGCCTGCATCGGAGGCCATTGGAACAGCTGTGCCTTGGTGCAGAGGTATGTTTCGAAATTCCTTTATCAGTGACTGCGCACTTCGAGTCGGGGTGATGCTGCGGTGGGCACAAGGTGCGTGAATGAAGCTATGGGAGGATGTCGCGCGGCGCGTTTGGGATTGAAATTTTGGAGCTGGAAGAAAGCAGCTGTAAGACACCCCGCGTAAAGCTGCCTTCTGTCGTCACAGGGGCGTTAGCGGGCCGGGGACAGGGGGTCAGGGGCACTAAGACCCAGTGGGGCAGGTGCCTGCAGGCTGCATTTCAGCTGTCTACACAATAAGCTGGTTTCACATGCATCTCATTGTCTCTTTGCAACCTTCACATCAAGCTGCTTGTGACGATTAAATAGTCGTTATAAAGTGGACTTGTCTTTGCTCTATCGGCTCTATGGGACTCCACGCCCTTCTACTATGCCATCAAACGCCGTCCCATGTTTAAACCCGTAAGTGTACAGATGGAAGCGTTTGTACATGTTTCCCTCATCCAACTCCCCGCCAAACCTCCATCCGTCGGCCGACCATCGGCTCTTCAAATGCTGCTTTCCCTCTCTGCAGCGCTGTCCCAAACCTCTAGTTGCTTGAGAATACGTTGGTACAAGAACAGCATGGTGCCGCTCTGGATAAAGGTCCACACGCCACGGGGACCAACACCCCTGAACCACCCGCTGATGCCTTCCGTCTGGTATATGACCTTGAGGCCGGTGATGACGGAAGACGTCTGGAGATTCACCGCGCCGGGTCGCGGTGTGTGCGTCGACGGCGATGACGTGGAGATGTTGCGCGTCTGGGACTTGGCCGCAGAGGTGTGCGCCGCGCCCTTGGCTGTCGGCTTGTTGTCCTTGGGCAAGAGATCGGGATGCACTTGTGTCTGCAGCCGTGTCTTGACGACGTCGAGAGGACACGTCATTACGCCGGCCAAACTGCCTGCCAGACCGCCAGTCAAAAGCTCCAGAGGCACTCCAATGTCCCTGCTCTGCTTGTACTGGCGGGCCCAGGCGTGGAACTGCTCCCAAAACATGAACTGCAGCGCTGAAAAGGGGAGATCGCGGTAGAGCGTCGCTTGGTAGCCGTAAAACAGCGCAGCCGGGCCTTCGTGGCGGACAATGGTTCTTGCGGCGTCAATTGTGCCCTTGTAGTTGTACCCTGACTTGAAATAAGGGTTGTTGTAGCGTCCCTGCAGTTGCATGCGAGTCTTTAGTACTTCGGACGGAACGTAGACGATGGAACCGGCAAAGTCTCCCAGCAAGCCTGGATAGGTCAATTAGTCTCTGGTTCTCCTTCCCCACGCACGCATCAACTCACCTGCTGTTAGATACGCCAAATGGTGCTGCAGGCCATGATCGATGAGGAACCGCTTGCTCCATTCGTATGTGCCAAAGAATAGCATGGTGCCCGGGAACGATCCGCCCAATGCCGGCACCCATCCGCCGTAAAGACCTCTCCGGATGCCCTCTTGCCTCCATATCGTGTAGTATGACGACCCCAGTGATGTGTACTTTGGCGGGATGTGCGGATCGCCCTGCTGGCGCGTCTTGACTGTGTCCAGGGAGTGCATAAGCATATCTCCTGTCGAGCCCCCGAGACCTCCCGCAATCATGGCGTGGAAGTAGGGCGGGCGGCCCTCCTCTTCGAGATCTCCATGTCCCTGCCCCATATCCTGAACGAGTGGTTGTCCGCTGATTTTGATATCCGGCAAGAGTCCTCCCGTCTGTCCGGCATGACTATCCCCCGCAATTGAAGCCGCCGCCGCCGGGTTGGAAACCGTAAGCTCCCCCTGAATCGTTCGCGCGCTGTTATCGGCCGGAGCAAAGTAGCTGACGAGGCGGTCAGCGACAGACATTTGCGGGTGCGTCTGTCGCAGTCGGCACCAGGTTCTCTCCGGTCAGTGGTCGTCGAGGGAGATCGGTCTCGGTGACGTCTGCGGTTTTTGTTCGAGGTCGCGTGAGAGCAGTCGGTGGCGCCCAAGGGAGGGACAACGACGCCGTGTCGAGGTCGAGAGAAGGGGAATAAGAGCTAGGGCGAGGAGAGAGGCCTCCCCGTCGATTTGGTCGTCGCGTGGGTTTATTGCGCGGGCAAAAAACTTGGCGGCGGCGAGGTCCAACGCATCAACGATAATGAAATTTCGCAGGGTTCCCGGGCTTCTGGAATTTTTGTTGGATGAGCACGGGCCACATGCCGCAGCTGCGGTCCACCAGTCCCGCTGCGTCACCGCGAGTTCGAGTCACCTAAGCATTTCAGCTGCGGCCGGCGCTAGACCGATAGGCGTCGGCCTTTTGGCGTCGGGCGCTGCCGAGACCTCCGAGGGGGACGCGGGTCAGCACCCGCCATCGGCATATGAACGATGCGCCTGCGTCAGACAGAGCTCATATGGGAAACTCGGTTGCATTTCCGTTGAGTCAAGTAGCGATACAATTGCTGTTATACACATTGAGAAGCCTTCCTCTCAGTACACTAGATCACTCCCGCGGCTTCATCTTAAAGTCCTCCCACTTCGTCCTTCCAAACTTGCGGAAGGGGTACAAGAACCACACAATCTTTCCCGTGACCAATTCCATGGATATGGGGCCGTAGGTGTTGCTGTCCAGCGTCTGGTCCGCAGGGCCGTCGCCCTCGACCCAGATGTGGCCCTGCGGCACTCTGACCATCGGCTGGGGGTGCGGCGGCCGTGTCTTGACATGGTCTCCCTCCAAGGCGATGATTCTCTTCACGGCGACGGTCTCTGGGTGAAACGGGCTCCTGTTGCGCTGTAGTGTTAGCTCGTCGTGACCCAGGGCGCTGGCAGTGCACAAGCAACGCACCTGAAGGTGACAATCATGCCCCTCCTGAGGTCCTCGTTCGCGTGCCACCTCCAGTTCAGCACCAGGTCGCGGATTATGGTGCTGTTGCGGTCCTCGTTAAAGTACGGGTACATGGAGGCGCCGCTGATCTTTGTCACGGTCGCGACATGGTCGTTAAACCAGATGACGACGGGGATCCAGGTCGCGATGCCGACCAGGCGGATTGCCGTGTCACCAAGGAAGCTCCCTCGTGCGCGCGCCCATAGCGATCGGAAGCTCATGGGCGCGACAGTGGCTGCGTGTGATGAGGTGGTTGCTGAAGCTTTCGCAGCTATCCATATTCTGTTTGGCGAAACTTTCAATTGGAGGTCATCCGACTTTCTTATCTTATCTTATCAACTGCTCTTATCAAACTAGGTACCTACTGCTGCACTCTTTCTCCCATGTAAGTCCTTCGTCTTTACAACATCCCACAAACTCTCGACTCGACAGCCGTTACTGGCACAAGTATGCCTTGAGCAACTCAATCGGCATGTCATGTCCAGCTACACCTGAAGTCATAATCGTAGACTTTACCCGCATGTTTTATTTTCCTTCAAGATGGAGGAAGTCCTCGCGTCGTCTTCTGCTGAGCGAAGTCTCCGAGATGGCTCGAAGGCACAACAGCACCATACTCACAAGCCAAGCAGCAATTGGATGGACAGAATATTATAGTTACATGTCCTTAAGCCTCCGGAGCGGTAACCGCTTCAACAATCCCCGTCTGGACACGCCTCCATGACACCAGCTAGAGAAAGAAGCCAACAACTTTTATCAACACATCCAAACAGATCGACGCTCTGAGCACGCCTAGGCGCCGTGCTGCACAGTCGTCTCGCGGCGCACCATGATGCCATTCGATCCCTCACCGCACCCACCCGGTGCGCTGCTCTCAGCCGACACAACAACGGTCCTGTCACCCCTACGCGGGCCTGCCATCTCACCCAGCGTGTCCACGCTGCTGTTGCTGTTGTTCTCGATCTGCCTCGAAGTCTCGCGAGCATGGCCACCTAGGGCAGCCTTGACATTCTTCTGGTATCCAGACCACAGCTTCGTCTCGTCGTCCTCGACGCCGTCCCTCTTGCCGTCCGTCGAACTGAGCTCGTACGACTCATCCTGGCGTCGTCGACGCTCCATGTTCTGTGCCACGACGGTGTTGAGGCGCGACTTGGAGGACTTGTTCAGCGACGATCCGCCGCGCTTGCTGCTGCCGAGTCGGGAGGTGATGAAGGACGGGAGGTACCGCATGAAGAAGGGCTTCAGCGCCGGCACGGAGGCGCAGATCATGCCCGCATTGAGCTCCAGGTAGCCCCAGATGAACGCCTCGACGGCTTCCCAGGTGTAGTCTGGGCTGGCAAGCAGCTTGGGGAGATGGACGGTCCGCTTAGTGGCCACGCCACAGACACTGTTGAGACTCGTCAGCAAACATCTCGGGAGTGGCGCTTCAGGGGGCGAGGCACTGACAAGACACCTGTTCCGAAGAGGAGGATGATGGAGAACTTTTGTCTCCTGGCCATCTGCAGCGGCACGACCACGGGGATGGGAAGCAGCAGGATCAAGACGTCCATGGCGATGTTGGCGATGCTGAGGGACAGGTAGATGGAGAACTTGTCCACGCAAGTCTTTTCAACGATGTTGAGATCCCAGCCGGCTCTGATCGGTGTGCAGCCAAAGATGTTGATGAGGACATAGACGATGGAGTAGCTGACGACCAGACCGATGAGGAAGAAGACGCCCCGGCGGAACCATACCTGCGGCGACAGACGCAGGTACAAGAAGAGGATGGACAGCTTGGAGAAGCTGATGCTGAGGGCGTACACGATCGTCGCGGCAATTGTCCACTGCACTCAAAGGTCAGCAACTGTTGTCCCTAACACTTCAACGGAGTCTGCGCTTACCCCAGTGTTGTGGACATTGTACACGTCCCAAAGGATATCCCACATGTGATGTGCCAGTCCGACTTCGACCTCTGAGGATGGTTAGCGTGATCTACGACTGAGGGCTTCAGAGACTAACGCTGGAAGAGCACGACAATCGTCGATATGGCGAAGAGCAACGATATGACAATGAGGTCTGTACGTGAGTTTAGACACCAACAAAGCGTTTAGGTGAGGAAACGGCTTACAATCATCGACATTCAACGGTGTTCTCGTGACGTAGAATCTCGTAAAGATGCGCAGCCCAACCGTCGTCCCCGCGATGAACGTCGTCACGAACGCCCACGAGTACAGCTTCACCTTCAGGGTCGGCGGGTTCACCTCCGTCCGGACCTCGCCAGGCGGCACTGGCGCAGTCCACGGCAAGTCCATTGCGTGATTCTTTCTTCAAGTGGTGCAATACAAAACGATCAGGACAAGCTGCAGGCTGTGTTCCCTTTAGAGGATTTGGGGGCCATTGCTATCAACACCACAGTGGATATCACGGAGTGTTTAAAGCGAGGCAAGAAAATAAGGGGCCAAGCCATGATTGCTTCTCTGATCCCCCGATGAGGCGTTCGAGACCGTTATCCGCCAATCGTTGGCCCCCTCTTCCTAGACTATTCAGAGTATAATGGAGAGGCTTTGCCATTGTTTGCGAGAACAATGCGAAAACCAGAGACTCGGGAACTTCCACCGAATGATCAGCAAGCCACCCATTTCGAGTCACCGCGTCGGGGACCTCGCATGCTCTGCGATGGAGGGCGAGACAGGCTGCCTGCCGCATCTTAAATCTCGGTAGTGTTTGCGAGTGTTGTCTAGTCTTCGCACTGGCTGGCGTTCTGGGGACTATATGTGGGAGCAAGCAACTAGAGCATCTGGTAGATCGTCTTACGACGGACATCGAGCCAGATTTCGACGTACCACGGGAGTTGTACCGATTAGGTGGTTATGTTTGCTTCGATGTACGGTGTGATGAGAACAACATGAGGTGTGGTTGGCTGTTGGACGACGTCCAAACGTTGGCTTATGCTGTTGGAGCCGGGGGGTTCAAACACCTCGAGCCGGGGCTGTGCTCCGCCGCCAGGAGGAGAGAGGCCACTTCTTTTCTCCCATGGACCATCGGCCAACACAAGATGTGGTCGGTTTGAATTTGAGTATCGCAAACAAGGCGCGGAGTTCGTTGCCCAGCTGTTCTCTCGACGGCCTCGACTTATCGACGAAATCGAGAAGATGCGAGAGCCAAGCACGTAGGCGCGGCCGACTCGGCCGTCTGTACAGGCGCAATGTAACACCGTTGACTATTTAGGAAAATGCTTCTCGAGCAGCAGGCTTTTGATTGGCGGCGTCCAGCGTTTTCGCGCTTCGCAAGTCGTCTGCGAACGCTTCATGTCTCGCAACCTCCTCTTCTTCGACAGACCGGTAGACAAAACAGTCGATAGAATGCTTGCACCAGTTCCACCCGGGTCCCCATGCATATGCCGTCGACACCAGGATCATGAGTCTCTTGGCTAGCAAAGACCAGGGTCGAGTTGCAAACAACCATCACGAAATCGGAATGTAGTTCATCGGCTGCGACAGCCATCCGGGGAGGCGGGATCTTCCAGACCACGTCCCATTCCGAGGATTTAATGATTCCCATCTCGTCTTCACGCTCTATCCGCTTCCCTCCCTCGTCTCCACGCCAGATCATTCCCCCTTTCTCCTCACACCCTTGATTCTTGCCGCTGCCAGGTCCCCGAGATCTCTTCGGCTGAGTATCACATTGTTCTGCCGAGCGTCCCTCTAATCACATATCATTTCTCTCTCCCCGCGGCATCCCCCCCATTCCCTCCGTCTCCAGACAAAGAGAACACAAGATGGCGGACCCTTACCCCTTCAAGGACATGGTCATCGCGGTGACGGGCGCCAGCCGCGGCACGGGTCTTGCCCTGGCTCGTTACCTCCTCATCCGCGGCGCCAAGGTGTCCATGTGCGCCACCACGGCGGAGAACCTCGCCAAGGCGCTGGAAGGCATCGAGAAGGACATTCCCGATGTCAAGGGCAGAGTCATGACCAAGGTCGTCGACATCCAGGAGCATGACATGGTAAAGGCCTGGATCGACGAGACTGTCGAGACATTTGGCAAGCTGGACGGAGCGGCGAATGTTGCTGGTCTGTATCCCCTTCTCTTGAAGCGTCGAAACATAACTAACATGAACAGCCCGTGAGCAACGGGAGATCTTTCCCATTACGGACCTGCCCAAGGAATACTTCAAGGAAATTCTCGTCACTAACGTCTTTGGCACCTTCCTTTGCATGAAGGAAGAGATGCGCAACATGAAGGACGGCGGCAGCATCGTCAACGTCGGCAGCATCACGAGCAACTACGCCTCGGCGGGCGTCTCAGCCTACGTCTCCAGCAAGCATGCTCTTCTCGGCATTACCAAGGTGGCCGCATTCGAGGGTGCGAGTAGAGGCATCCGCGTGAACGCCCTGTGTCCGTAAGTGCCACCTTTTGGATTCACTCGAGGCAGGATAACTCACTGAACTACTCACTCAGGGGCTGCATCGACACGGACATGATGCACAAGCCGTTCAACAGCCCCAGCGGGCAGTTCTGGCTTACCGCTGCGGACCAGCCGTGCCTGACTAGACGTCTGGCCGAGCCCTGGGAGGTTGCGGCGTCGATCGCATTCCTGCTCGGGCCGGAGGGGAGATTCGTCAACAAGGCCACATGGTACGTTGACGGCGGGTGGACCGAGGGAAGCTTCAGCAAGCAGTAGAGAACTCTCCGTTAGATTCCCTCATAGACGGAGCATATGTATCATTTTGTTGCCATCATCCCCATGTAGATATTTAAACGCCTATGATGTATTGTCAACGCCGGGGTCTACTGGAATAATGCGTGCTATCTTTGGAAAATCCCTCATCGTTGCTCATGCCGTCATCATACCCAACAGCTCGACCCGGATCCTTCCCAACGCCTTCATGTTGGGCAGCCTCGCGCCGGCTTGCGATGCCCGATAACAACGGCCTGCTAACGTATGCAGCACTTTTTCCGCACTCATGACACCCTGGGGAACACGTGAAGTAATGGGTACTTTTTTTTTTTGGTCGTCTCATTAGAATCACTCCGGATTCCCAGCCTGCCAGTACGCTCATTCTACCAGCCGCCCCCTTTTTTGTTTGCCTTGACCGTTGAAATCTAAACCTCCGGGTTGTCGTCGCTCTCCGAGACACTCTCGTCACCGCTGACCTCGGCGTTCTCACGCTCTCTCTTCTCCATAAGGGCCTGCAGCTCGGCGTCGTCGCTCTCGGTGACGGCCTTGGGCTCCATCTTGACG